GTTAATAATTTGTTTTATATAATGCTTCTATGTACTCCATTTGTTGCTTGACAAAGTTTCTTGAAACCTTTGAAGTGCCATAATTTTTACCACTTCAGATGTTTCAGAAGACTTTATTGGCAAACATATTTATATATTTTAATATATTAAGATATATATTTATTTCCAAAGATAACTCGAGTTGCTACTGAGTCACTTTTGGAAACAAAATACAAATTTTATTAAGAGTCTTTTGACATGTCTAACCCTAGCTATTTATGATTTGTTTGAAAGCTGCGGTTCATTCAAAGGACATTTTATTGGGATGCTTTCATTTAGTAATCTTGTTGGGACAAATTTTATATGTTAAACACTTGTTTAAAGTCATTAAAGAATTTTACAAATCAATAGATGTTCCATTGTGCAAACTTGTTATGCATGCCAGAATATTAGAAATGTTAACTCAGGCAATATTCAGGACATTTAAAAGCATACTTACAAAATTAAATTCCACCACTGATTACTCTGAAAAAAATGATTTTTTAAGACTCATTTTTTTTTTTACCTTTAACAAGTAATTATTTTAAATTTTCAAATTCATTTAAATGTGAGCAAATGTCAGCATTTGATCAGATAAAATTTTTGAAGTGTTTATCCATTTGTGGTCTTTCTAATTTTATTAAAATTGTATTGCTGATCTGCTTGGTTACAGCAGAGATGAGTTAACAATATTGTTAAGTTGCTATAAATAATGTTGCAAAAGAAATTAGTTTAATCAGACAGTGTAAAAAGATAGAGCTGTGCATCTGGTAAAAAAAAAAAATCCAATAAGAAGGTTTTAAGATTTTATTATCTCCAAATCAGTTATGATCTTGATATAATTCCACTGAACAACAAGTGTAAAAGTAATTGAGAATTGGAATCTGTGTTCATAGTTCTAAGTCCTTGTATTCAACACAACAGCTGACAATACAGGGCTTTATAAAAGCACATGTATTATGTACATGAATTGAAGAAGCTCTGGGAAAGTCTGGATTGTATGTTATCATCATGTCATGGAAGTTGTTCTTTCAAATGTTTTCAGGTCTCTGTTTTGCCTAACTGAAAGTAAGTCAACTGCACTATTCAAGTGGTTTCAGAAACAAAGGCTATCAATGAACCAAGATGTTTATAGTACAGCAACTGATGAAGTGTTTCAGGATCCAATATTGAAAAAAATGCAACCGTAAATGCTAGTCTTTTTACCAGAAAAATGTTTAGCTCCTGGTCTAATACATCATGCAAGATGGGTGGCAAAAGCCATTTACACACTGAAAATTTTTCTTTTCAAGATTTAATTTAAGTTAACTACTTATAAATCCAAGAATATTACATATTTGGCTTTCTTTGCCAGTCATGTTCATGTCAGACAGTGGAATGAAGCACCACTTGCAATCTGAGCCCCTCTCAATTGTCTTGAGTTTTCATCAAATCTGAAGACCTAAAAAATATCTAAAAAAGACTTGTCAGTATGGTAAATTAAGTATTTTCAAGGCACCCCCAGTTTCCCTCTAAACATCTGGTTGGCATAGTTCTTTCAGCATCAATCAAATAAAAGATTATAGAGTAAGCTGCAAAACATACAAAAGCCATAAACCATACCTTGTTTTTGAAGCAGCATTATGATGATGTGGTAATGGTTGGAAGTCGGCTACAAGAGCAGGTCAAACTATGTTAACAATGCTTTTTGCACCTTGTTTAAAAGAAAAAGGGCATCATTAGAAGATCTGCCCCAGATATGACAACAGTATTCCATTCAAGGCCAGATTTGAGATTTATAGAGATAGAGAATAGAATCCGGAGTGAGAAAGTGTCAACCACAATAAAGAGATGCAACCTTAGCAGATGCTAATTTTGCAATGGATTTGATATACAGTTTCCAAGAAAGATCAGAAGTAAGAGTTAATCCTAGAAGATGAAGGGTAAATGTACATCACTGTTCATAAATATAGGAAGATCTAAATTATTGCAATAACTATTGGCTAAAAAAAAATGGGTTTATCTGAATTAAAGTTCACCAGCCATTGTGAGCCCCATGCTGTAGCAGAAACGAGGTCCTTTTCAAGCTCAAATGCCTCCTTCCAAGCAATCAGAGAGTATTGGCTTCTTATCATGACAAGAATAAATGGTAGTAGAATCAGCAAACAATGCCACCTTAGATGTAAGATTTGTTCTTCTTCTTGAGTGTTGGAAAATCTAGCGTGACTATCCTCGACATATGTTAGATAGGATTTTAGGTCAAGTGGAGGGTTTACTGCCATTGCAATTTTTAAAGCATATTGTTCATGATGTTGTAAAAATGATTCTGCAAGTATTTGAAACCAACTCGTTCCTTTTGTTCAACAGATTTCCCCCTGTATGCGTTAAAATATAAAACTTTTCATTAAAACAAAGGCTGCAAATTTTGGATGAAGGATTATATGTTTGGCAGCGCTTGATTATTATTCTTTATGCAGTAATTTATATTTACAAGATGAGATTAATTTCTTTATTCAAATGTTTAACAAAAATGGGTACAACATATGCCAACTTGAATGGATTGCAAAATTAATGGGAAATAAACATATAGGCATGAAACTTATAGTCCTATGAAAAGTTGTTTTTTCTCTATGTAAAAAAAAAAATATATAAGTGGAAAATAATCAAGTGCTGCCAAACATATAATCCTTTCCCATACAAGGGAAATCTGTTGAACAAAAGGAACGAGTTGGTTTCAAATTGTAGGCATAAAAATAAATTCCTTCTTTCGTTTTATGATAGCTGATTTATATACAATTTTCTTTGACATTTTCTTGTTTTGTCTCTATAGAGACATCAGATGACGCTTCACTGTATTTTGTAATTTGTTTGTTTATGATATAGTACATGACTGATGATTGCCGTATAGGCATGAAACTTATAGTCCCATGAAAAATTGTTTTTTCTCTATGTAATTTAATATATATATATATATATATATATATATATATATATATATATATATATATATATATATATATATATATATATATATATATATATATATATATATATATATACACACATACTATAAAGTATATAAATCAAAAATTGCTTACACTTTTTGCTTACTTAATAAAGAAAAAAACAGCCCAATCCCTCAGTTGATGTAGCTGCACTCTTTTTTTGCAGCAGGCTATAAGATAGTCAATGCATGTATATATATATATATATATATATATATATATATATATATATATATATATATATATATATATATATATATATGTATATATATATATATATATATATATAAAATTCTGGATAGTAATCTGATTTGTCTAACTACTGCCCTATTAGTCTTGTTCCTATCATAAGCAAGGTTTTTGAATCTTTAATTAACAAGCACTTAATCTCTCATCTTAAATCTAACAACTTACTTTCTGATCATCAATATGGACTTTGGTCTTTTTGTTCTATGGCTGATTTGCTAACAGTAATAATCAATAGGTTTTATTGTGCATTAGATAAAGGTGGAGAGGTTAAGGCTATTGCTCTTGACATTTCTAAAGTGTTTGATAAAGTTTGGCATGCTGGTCTTCTCCATAAGTTTTCTTCTTATGGTGTATCTAGAAACATCTTTAAGATTATTAAATCCTTTCTTTCCAATCATAGTATAAAAGTTGTCCTTGATGGACAGCACTCTTCTTCTTATTTTGTAACCTCAGGGGTTCCTCAAGGTTCAATCCTTGGCTCATACTCTTTTTAAATTACATTAAGGATTTTTATCTAAGGTGGCATTGTTTGCTGATGATACTACCATTTATTATTGTTATGATAAGAAGCCAACACTCTCTGATTGCTTAGAGGGGGCATTTGAGCTTGAAAAGGATCTCACTTCTGCTACAGCATGAGGCTCGCAGTGGCTGGTGAACTTTAATTCAGATAAAACTCAATTTTTTTTGGCCAATTGTTATCGCAATAATTTAGATCTTCCTATATTTATGAATGGTAATGTACTTGATGAGTCATCTACCCTTCATCTTCTAGGATTAACTCTTACTTCCAATCTTTCTTCGAAACCATATATCAAATCCATTGCAAAATTAACATCTACTAAAGTTACATCTCTTTATTGAGCTTGACACTTTCTTACTCTGGATTCTATTCTTTATCTCTATAAATCTCAAATCCGGCCTTGTATGGAATACTGTTGCCATACCTAGGGCGGATCTTCTAATGATGCCCTTTCTCTTTTAGACAAGGTGAAAAAATGCATTGTAAACATAGTTGGACCTGCTCTTGCAATCAACCTTTATTACATGGTCATAATGTTGCTTCTTTTTATCTTTTCTACAAATACTATAATGGACACTGTTCTAAGGAGCTTGCATCTCTTGTGCCATATAGTAAAATTCATTCTTGTGTTACTTGTCATTAAATTAAGTCTCATCCTTTTTCTGTGACTGTTCCTAAGTGCTCCAAAAACTCTTATTCCTCTAGTTTTTTTCCTCAAACATCAGTTCTTTGGAATTCGCTTCCTTCATCTTGCTTTCCTGATTCATATAATTTGCAATCTTTTTAGTTGTCTGTCAATCGTTATCTTGTTCTACAATCTTTATCTTTTCTTTTCCAGTAACTTCCAACTATAATTAGTGGTTGCTTGCAGCCTTGTTGGAAGGGTAGATGTTAAAAATATATACATATATATATATATATATATATATATATATATATATATATATATATATATATATATATATATATATACACATTTATACATAAATATATATATATATATATATATATATATATACACATTTATACATAAATATATATATATATATATATATATATATATATATATATATATATATATATATATATATATATATATATATATATATATACATACATATATATATGTATATATATACACACGTTTATACATATATACTTATATATATATATATATACACGTATATATATATATAAGTATACATTGATAAATTTATATAATTTAGATTGAATTAGATTTTGAATTAGAGTATGAACTGCCATATGATATTATGTCCATTCAACATGCTGAAAGTCATGCAGTGTTATTTACAGGAAATCTTGACGAAAACGATGAATCTTCTGATGATTTGTAAGTGTTTTAAAAATAATGACAATTTTTATATATAGTTAGTTCACAATTACATTTAAATGTTGTCTGAGATAATAGAGTTTTAAAGGTGATTTCTTCATAAAAAAATATCTTCTAGTAATATAGCTTTTATGAAAAACTTTTGTTTCCAAAAGTTTTTGCAACGGAATGATTTTGATTTGATTTATATACTTGGATAGCTTTTAATGTGTTGTTTTAAAAATAGCATTTTGGTGTTAGCTATAAAAACATTCTGAAGAATATACTTCTATGATAGCAATGTTATAATTTTATATTGCTTTATTGCTTTTTTGCTAACCGCTTGTGTTTATGCTGGATTACTTAAAAGGTCAAACTAGGCCATGGTCTTAAGCCCCCAATAATAAGTGGCCCCCAAAATTTAAACTTGAATAATATTTAAAATTTTTATTTTATTGTTAATTAATCAATAATGCACATAATACAATTTAAACATTTATTTTTGTTATTTGTTTGTTTGCAATAAATTTTTTTTCTATTGTGAAGTAGTCTTTTTCAAATTTGACACTGCTTTAATATTTTAAAACAATTCATTATGAAAATTGCATTAGAAACTCATGCTAATGCCATCAAGCCAGTTTTCAATTCTTTTAATACAATTTTGACAGCATTAAATGAGTTTTCTAATGATCCCTCTCAAAAAAATTGAAACTACCAAGCTGAATGTGTTGAAAATAAGATGTGAACTTTTGAATTTGTCTTCATACTTATATTGGAGCAATATTTTAAATCACCAAGCAAAGCTCTTCAGCCAGAACAAATTAATGTCAAAACTTTCACTTTAATTCATATCAAAATGAAATTTTTAACATTAATTTGTTCAAATCATCATTAGAAAATATGTTATGCAATATGAGAGACAATTTTAATGAATTTAAAAACAAAGTAAAATCTATGTTGTTAGGTATGCTACATCATGAAATTGTCTACAAAGAAGAACTCCAAACAATGGAAATGTTCCACAAGTGATATTACCTGTTTGAGAAAATTTTAGAAAATTATTTTTTTAAAACTAATTTACTCTTAACAAGACTGCATGCAACCATTGTTAATTTGAGAGTAACTGAAAAACAATTAATAGTGTTAATGAGCAAAGAAACAGTTGAAAAAAGATTTAAAAAGTTTTAGGTTGTGTGAGTTAGGAAAACAAAAAAGATGGGAGAGTGTTTTAAAGAGAAGTGTGATAAGTTTGCAAGGGATTGTATATGTGGTTTCCATAAGAGATCAGTTATGAATGATAATCTAAGAATATGTAAATTTAAAGATTCGCTAGCATTATAGAAATTCATCAAGAATGTCAAACATATTGCGATAAATGTTTGATAATAATATTTGCAGTAAAGTTTTGTTGAAATTAAAATTTACAAGCCACTGCAAGCCAAGTATATATAAATGTATATATATATATATATATATATATATATATATATATATATATATATATATATATATATATATATATATATATATATATATATATATATATATATATATATATATATATATATATATATATATATATATATATATATATATATATATATATATATATATATATATGTATATATATATATATATATATATATATATATATATATATATATATATATATATATATATATATATATATATATATATATATATATATATATATATATATATATATATATATATATGTATATATATATATATATATATCTTTCATTTTCATATATATACGCACATATGTATACATGATTGGGGATTTAAGTCGGTAAGGTACTAATATTTTTTCTAAACACACCTAATAGTTTTTATGTTTATTATTTTCAGAAAAATTGCACTTCCTATACCTGAAATTGATATTATAGAAGATTGGAAGGTTTGTTGTGCTATTTTTAAAAGTGTAAAATAAATATTTAAATTTATATTTATTAAATTATATTCATTTATTAAATAATATATTTATTAAATTATATTCATAGAAATTTATGCTTTAGTTTTTAGACAAGCTGAATAACAATCTTTAATTATGCGAACATTCAGTACTATATCGAAAAAATAATTATGAATGCTCTCATAATTAAATATATTTTTTATTGCTATATTTTTTATTATTATATTTTATTACTTTTTTAATATTTAAAAAAGGTTAAAATGCCACTATAAGCCCTAAACTGTCACAGAGAAGAGACCAGCATGCCAGACTTTATTGAATACCTTTAATATGTCAAGAGCAATGATGCTTGTCTCAAAACTTCCATCTAATGAGGAATACTACTTCTCTGATATAATGGTTAACAAGTTAGTAGTGAAACCAAAAGATTGGAATCCATCTTGATTGAGAGTTGGTTGTTAGATTTTTATAAGTTTGTTAAAAACTTTGTTAATAATAGTAAGAAGACTGGGCAAAAGTAACAAAAATCACAAGAGTTTTTTAAAATTGGGGCCAAATATTATTTTCTAGCAAGCAGGATTCAGTGATGTAATTGTTAAAAGTTTTGGAAAACTGTGTAATATAATTACTTTGAAGACCATGAATATTTGTAAAGAATAGATTTAAACAATTTGGTGATAATGATTGTCTTTGTTTGCTTTTTTTGTGGCATTCTATTCATGGTTTTAAATAGATAGTGTATATCTAATTGTTTAGTGACACCCTTATCAATAAGTTGTATGGTTGCTATAAAACTGCTAATCATGCCAAAGTCATGACAAAAGGCTCCTTATGTGGCCTCAACAGTGCACACTAAAAGCACTCACGAAGACACCTTTGATGTGCAAAATGGCATTGTTAATACTCTGATATTTACAGTGTTTGAAAAATGTAAAGGTATTAATGACCTTGATAAACATTCTGAGTAAGTTAAATAAATATATTTAGGCAGTTCAGCAACCAAAAAAAATGATGTTTGTTGCAAAATGCATCAAGTTTGACCTAGAAGCTTTCATAAAACTAGGATATTTGGTGGTAAACATAAACTTATGAAGATAAGTTAAGATGACGACTAACAGATTCAGAAGATGGAAAAAATAAAGGAAAACAAAAAAAAAAAGGATAAAATTAGAAAATTCAAAGAACAGAAGGATTCTGAAAAAATGTAAATAAATTTGCTGAATTCAAGAATATTGGTGTGAAAGAGGTTTGTGATTTCCTGGTATCTAGATATTCATCCTCTATCTGTGTTAAAGTTACCCAAATATCAACTGTGACAGTTGCTGCAATATATTGTGATTCACTATTGACTCGATTACCATTTAGAAAACCGAGGAAAATAGCTCTTAACGAGAGTTTTACTTAAGCGGGATCATGGATTTGGAAAATCAGGATTTGTAAGCTTGTCCAGGATTTGTAAGCTTGAAAATGTTCATGTCACATCTGAATTAAAAAATTTAATTTTTTTGATATCAAATTTGGGTATGATGGCAGTGGAGGACAACATTGTATAATCAGCTTGTACAATTTAGACAAATGTATAATCAGCCTCATAATGTTAATACCAATTGTATAAACATGGCAATGTTTTCCTCTCTGAAACTTTTTCACTTTGATGCTGATGGTATTTGTTATGGCAAAAAAATCCCCAAACTCAGAAAAATCTCTAGACTCAGAGGCCTCTGATGATAAAAAATTCTATGAGAATGTGCAGTCTTTAATTTTTTAATGCAGATATTAAAACAATGAAAAAGGAAGATTTCATTATCTTTGATGAACAATAACACAGGCCGACAAAATTTGTTTTTCTAGTGCCGAGCAAACAATAGGTATTTTTATAGTATTTCTTATTTTGATTTCAAATATGCAACTCATTTTTCACCATCATGTCAAGTTGTAAAGATATTTGAGTTCAAATCATTAGTATTTGGGGTAAAGTTCAAAAATATGTCAACCTGGGTCTCAAAAGAAGCGTATTTTCATAGAGATTTCAAAAATGTTCAAAAGTATTTTTTTTTTATTATTGCTGAAAAACATTTTGTTAAAATATTTTTAAGAGTCTTAAGCATTTTTTTACATAATTTTTTTTGTCAATGAGTTTTAAGAAAAAATATTTATGTTTTCCAAAATCTCTATGAAAATACACTTCTTTTAAGACCCAAGTTTTGAATAATTTTTTTGAATTACTTTTGAATAATTGTTTTTGGACAATATTAGGGACTTTACCCCAAATACTAAAGATTTGAAGCTAAATATCTTTACAACTTAACGTGATGGTGAAAAATGAGTTGCATATTTGAAATCAAAATTAGAACTGTAAAAAAAAACTAATTGTGTGCTACTATAAAAATATACTATGAAAATATACTATAAAAAAAACTAATTGTTTCCTCAGTACCAGAAAAAAAAAATTTTTTTTGTTGGCCTTTTCTGCCTAAACTGTTTGCCTTGTTGTTTACTTTGATATTCAATTATAATTGAATATCAGTTTAGACAGAAAAGCATTAAACATATATTAGGACTTTGGAGATGCTTACTGTGATCTCTGCAAATAGTTTAAGTAACAATGAGAAGATATATGTACATTTGAACTGGGATTCATTATAAATAGAGACATTCATACCTCGGAGCAGATATTTTTGAACTTGAAAAAAAAAAGAAGAATATGGTTTTTTAACTAAAAAGCTAAAGGATTATGATGTGCATTATAGGCAATTAAGTCCAATAGCTAGATCAAATGTAAGCTCTGTTAATTAAACTCCTGTTAACAGGAGTTAATTAGTAAAAGAACAAGAATCAAGTGAGTTTTTGCAAATTCATCTGGTCAAGGGGGTAGTTCTACTACTGGAAATGTAGCTAGTACAATGCGAAAAATAGAAAACTGATTACTAACTACATTTTAAATTAATATCACAGAATATTAGTCAAGTGGTATGGTCTCTTGTGGTCCACTATTATTCCTGGTATGTCGTCTAGTCAGAAAATTAATATAAAGAATTATGTAAAGAGATTAATGTTCTTCTTCTTCATTAAACATCAACTTATTAGTTTGACATTCTTCATGTTCTTCTTCATTAAACATTAGTTTGACACTGGCTATGCATAAGTTATGAGAACATACTTGGGAGCTATTTGAGTTAAACAATAACACTGACCTTAAATCATGAAGTAAGCAAGTCATGAAAGTAAACAACAAACAGCTGAGCATTTTTACAGATAAATTTTCAAGAAAAACAAATCAGTTGCAGAGTTTTAATTTTAGACCAGAACTTACTCAGAGTTTTTGAAAACTTTAAGAGTAAGTTCTGATACTATAGTTATCAAATAATGGAAGAAAGGTCAAATACAATGCAAATGAAATAGGATTTCCTGTTTTTTTTTTATCTTTTTAGAAGTTTACATGAAATTTCTTGTGCATAATGAGTAAAACAAATTAAAAATATGGGTAATTGGTAAAAAATATGTGGCTTATCAAATTAAAATAACAGGTATTTTCCAAGTAATATATTGTTTAGTATTACCAAATTTCTGGTTTTTGAGATATGGGGCAAAGCATTAAAAACTTAGATTTTTTTAAATGTAAAACCATCTTTTTTAATTTTTTGAAATAAAAAAAGAAAATTTTATTTAAAACATTAAAAAAATATTAAAGTATATATTTTAGTTTTTAAAATTTAATTTAAAAAATAAAGTATAAAAAAAAAAGTAAAACATTTTTTTTTCTCTTTTTGACTATAAGTCAAGTTTTGACTATAAGTTTTCAAAATTTTAAAAAGTAGTTAACTTGTCTTCATTGTTTCTTAACTTGTCTTCGTTGTTTCTTATCTTGTCTTCATTGTTTCTTAACTTGTCTTCGTTGTTTCTTCACCAGCTTTGATAATATTTCCTGAAACAAATTTTTTTAAATTTTGGTTTGTATTTAGACTAATGTGCACATGTGATAGCCTCACTTGATGGTGTAAATGTAAGCCAGTAAAATATAATGTGTCTATCATTTATTACAAAAATAACAGAACAGTTTTTAATAACAAAAGGATGAATTCTATGAAAACTTAATTTTTTTTTTATATATCTAGCATTGTTCAATGTTTTAATATTTTGTCTGTGTTAAAAATAAAGACAAAAAATAGCCTAATATGTAATGTGTGGTTGGGTACATCCCATAGGTAGGCGTGGTTGGGTACATCTCGTAGGTAGGCGTGGTTGGGTACATCCCTATATAATACTTATTATTAATGGAATAACTAATATCTTATTTGTTATTCCATTGAAAATCATTGTCTTTAAAAAAAGTCATTAAACTAATGTTTCATTTATTTATTATTTTAATGTGTAATGTTTTAAAAGTATATGTTATATAGCAATAAGTATTGCTAAAAATTAATTTGAAAATAAGTAAATTTTCTTTTAGGTACACATAAGAGTTCATCAAGGTAAAGAATTATGTGGAAAAGATTGCAGACCATATGTAAGATTACGGATATTAGATGAGAAAAGTTCAACAAATGTTAGCGATTCTGCTAATCCAGTTTGGGAAGAAGAGTTTATGTTTACCTTCAAAATTATTAGAGCAAAGTTACTCGATTCAGTTCTGTATATAAAAGCTATAACATCAAAAAGTAATTTTTAATTGTTTTTAAATCAATTAAATAAATTATTATTAACACATTAAATACACAACAACCCTGAAAGAACACATTAGACATACAACAACACTGAAAAGACATATTAGACAATCAATCAATCAATCAATCAATATATTTTCGATAAAAGATCTTGCAATCAATCATTTACAAATAGTTAAAAACTGATCTTAAGTAAATACCATGAAATAGAATTGATAATACAAATAATAATGATAATAATAATGATGATAAATTAAAAGTTATAAGAATAATAAGAAAATTATATGATAATAAACCAATATCAATTTTAACACAACAATTGAATATCATGCACAGACAGGAAAGTTACAAACAGTTATGTACTGACAAAACATAACAGCCTACCACGTAACTAAAACAATTACTGCAAAAAAAAAGTAACAATGATTTAATAAATACAACAATCTTAATATCAATAATCATAATAAAAACAATAAAAGTAAAATAAATATTTCATTAGAAAATAACAATAAATAAACAAAACAAAAACTATTCAAAAATACTCACAAACAAAAACGTGTCACACACAAACATTTAGTCACGAAAAGTATAGAGCTTTCATAATAAATAAAAATATTAAAATAAAAAAGTAAATCATATTATGCAAACACATATCCTCACTCAAAAATAATAAAATTTAAAAAATATTATTTTTTCTTTCTTCAAAAAAGGAGCAATTTTTATATTTTATTTTAATTTCTTTTTAATTCCTTTCCATTTCCGAATGTTTGTTTTTTTTTAACTTTGGATTTTTTTTACCTTTTTCTTTTCTCGTTTCTTTTTTCTTTTGTTAATTAGTTTGATTTGTTTTTGAAATTTTTTTTTTAGTTTTTTTCTTTTTTTCTTTCTTTTCTTCATTCTCAAAATTTTTATTTTATTTTTCTTATGTTATTCTTTTTTCTTTATCTTTCTTTTTCTTTTTTTTTTTAATTTATTTATAAAATTCGTTATATGAGACATACAATAACACTGAAAGAACACATTAGACGCACAACAATACTGAAACTATTTTGTGCAAAGTATGTGAATGTAATTATTATAGTTTATGGTTTTGTTAAAAATATTTTGTTTTATTTGAGTTTTTTAATCATTCATTAATTTAAAATATTTTCTGATTATTTAATCAATGTTTAATTCAAATTATTTTGAATCAAATTATTATTTATTTCGAATCAAATTATTATTTAAAATTAGACTATTTTAGTAATCTATACAAACAAAGCATAAAATTTGGACTATGTTGAAACTGTTAAACTATGTATTAATTTTGTAATGATTTAGATACAGTTTTTAAACCACATACCTAGTTGTACCATCAATGTTTTGTTTCTTGTTGCAAAAGCATTTTTCCATAAAGTTCCTTTCTTAGAGAGGCTGTTCCTTAAAATTTTGGAGTCATAGGCTTGAAAGAGACATTTTAAACAATAAGAGGAAAAAAATAAAAAGAAGCCTTGATTAAGCTTTCAATCATTAAATAATTTCAATTAATCTCAATCTCAATATATTTTATGTCAATTTTTAGAAAGTGCAAAACACTTTCTAAAAATCAACAGCATAAATCTAACTGTAAAGATAGGCAAAGTAATTGACTTGCTATCAGAGCTTGAGTTTGATTTAATTTAAAAAAAATATATATATATATTTATCAGATATTCTAAAATTAACTTTAAAGAAAAACTTTTTTTTTATAAGTTTACTAAGGTATGCAAATTACCAAAGATAAAGCAACACAGAATCTTTTAGTATTTTTTTTTTTTTTATATTTAAGCAATTAACACCAATATTTGAAAAAAGAATTATAACAACAACAAAAAAAAAACAAAAAAAAAAAAAATTTATTTCTTTGTTTAACATTTTACTCATTACTTTATAAAATAAATACATATGTAAATAAATATATATATATATATATCAAAAGTTAGAAAAGCAAATATTGCAAAGGAAATGTTCTTTGTATTGTAGTTCTTAATAATAAAGTTCATAATGTCATGTTTAGAAACCACTTAACATTAAAACATTCATAAAACAACTATGTTTTGCTGATTAAAATAAATGGAACTGATTTTAATAAACTGCAATAAACTGTGATTAGCACAGTTGAATTTGCACAGATTATGAGTGGTGCTAGCTTCAGTTTAAAAATAATTATATTTATATTAATTGTATTTCTTTTCAAGCTGAAACTAATTTTTTTAACAACATTTTAAGTTATGTTGGAAATGTTGTTAAAAACATAAAGATTTAATTAAAGCATATTTATTTAATGCTAGTAAACTTGAAAATGTTACTTTTAGGTTGAAAAAATATGGAAGAAAAATTTGTAAAAAATGCTAATTTTAAGAGAAGCAAGTTGCAATAATTGATGAATAGTTTACACAAGTTGATGCCATTTATCAAGAGCATCATTTAGCGATCATTAACGAGAAAAGTTTGATCAAGATAATTTGATCAAGATAGTTTGTTGAAGAAATTTTAAAAATCTAAAACTACTAACAAAGTTCTTATTTATGTTTGAATAAAAGTTTTCTAAAATGCTAAAGACGTTATTATCAGTAAAGGTTTCAAAATGCACAAAGTTGTTTTGAAAATATTGTTTTGTTTTCACTCGATTACAAAAATAATATAAAGGATTTTAAATCAACAAAAGAGAGTTGTACTTAATCATCTACAGGTATATACTCTCTGAATGTTTTACATTTATTAAAATCTATAAAAATTTTTACATTTATTAAAATCTATAAAAATGTAAACAAACAGTTTTAAATAATAAATAAAAATTAGGGGAGACCGGGGCTAGTTGGCCGCAGGGGTAAGTTGACGAATTGCGTTTATCTTTAAAGCCTTTCATCAGAAAGTGATAAAAATTACACAGAATCTTCCTAATTGACTGTTTCATCATTCAATGTAGTATTGTCAGGATTCGCGCATGCGCATGGGAGATATTAGGATTTAAGTGTTTTTTGGACAAAAACGTAACTTTTGAAACATCGCTTCCTTTTTACTTTACAAAGAAAATAGTTAGTCAAATGGAAAAAAAATTATTGTAAAAGTTCTAGCCACAATTGGTTTACTATATTCAGTTTGACTTTTTTTAAAAGTTGCCGTTTTTCAGGATCTATAGACTGTTTATTGAAAAAAAAGCCTTCGGGGTAAGTTGACAAAATTTTTACGGGGTAAGTTGGCTCATAGCATTTACTATGGAGAAAAATATTTATTTTTATAAAAATAATTTTTTTAATTTTTTTAATTTTTAACAATATTGAAAAAACTTATTCTTACAAAAAAATTATAAAAATTTTTTTTTTAGGTTTTTTGTAACAGGTAAAAAGAGGGCTGCTGTTTTGGCTGTTATACGTACTAATATTTAGCACAAGCTAAAAATAATATCAAATTATTAGCTTAAATTGTTGCCAAAATTAATAGGTAAAAAATTTCTATTAATTTTGCACTTAATAGTACATTAATAATCACGTTTATAGTTTGCGTCAACTTACCCCGTGGTGGGGTAAGTTGGCGCAATTTTTTTTTTTTTTTTGAGGGCCCCGTAAGGCCCCAAGAATTTTTTTTTGTAAATCCATGAAACTTTTATAAGTTACCCAAGTTCATACGCTTTGAGACTACACTTTAATATTTTCAAAAAAGTGTGCTATTAGGGCTACAGAGCTCATTGAGTAAAAACCGAGCCAACTAGCCCCGGTCTCCCCTAGACAATTTAAAAAGTAAATTTTATTAAATTTTGAATAAATGTATATATATATATATATATATATATATATATATATATATATATATATATATATATATATATATATATATATATATATATATATATATAAATTAAAAATATTGAAAAAATGCCTAAAGGTAAGCCAATAAGTCTAGAAAAAGAGGCTGCAATACTTACTTTGCTTCAACAAGATTATTAGTTGTATAATGACAGTTAAAAAAATAGCTGAAAAATTAAATCTGAGTAAATCAACGGTTAGTTATACAATTTGTTGATATGGAGAATCTGGAAGTTTGAAAGACAGAAATTGTCCAAGTCCTTCTCAAATAACAACAAAAACTGATGACTGACATATAAAAGTCATCAGTAAACACAATCGAATGTTAACTGCTCCACAAATAACAGCTATATTCAGCTGTGATCAAGAAAAAAAAGTTTTATTATTCAAATATTTTTAACTGTGATCGAGAAAAAAAAGTTTCTGTCAGTATAATCAAATGAAGATTGCAAAAAGCTAATTTGCAATCTTTGATATTCGAAAACCATATCTACAAAAAGGTAATTGACAGAAGAGATTTTATTGGGCACAGTTTCACAAAAATTGGATAATGGATGAATGGAAACAAGTACTCTGGACCGATGAGTCAAAATTTGTAGTTTTCAGAAATAAGCGAAGAGTTTACGTTAGAAAATCTGCCAAAGAAAAAATGCTAACTCAATGTCTGGTTCCAACAAAAAAAACATGGTGGAGGCTCTGTGATAGTTTAAGGTTGTTTCTCTCTGGATGGATTGAGAGATTTGCGTAAAATTGATGGTAAAAGAACTTTACAGAGATATCCTGGAAACAAATGCAATCCCTTTGGGGCTTCAATTAATCAGAGATAATTTTACTGCATAAACATACTGCATTATTATGTAAAAATTATTTAGATTTAAAAAATGTATTTCGTTTAATGATCTGACCTCCCGAAAGCCCGGGCCTCAACCCCATTGAGTTACTATGGGATGAACTGGATAGAAAAGTTAGAACTGTATGTTCAATATCATATTCAGATAAAAACAATTAGAAAATTAATTGAAAAATGCCAAGAATTTTTAAAGCAGTTATTAAATCAAAGGTTTTTTTGACGAAAAGATAGATTAACGGTTTTTATAAATTTTTATTGCATAAAATTGTCTAATAATATATTTTATATTGAAAATGTATAAAATCATATAATTTTTATTAATATAATTGTATATATGTATATATGTATGTATGTATGTATGTATGTATGTATGTATGTATGTATGTATGTATGTATGTATGTATGTATGTATGTATGTATGTATGTATGTATGTATGTATGTATGTATGTATGTATGTATGTATGTATGTATGTATGTATGTATGTATGTATGTATGTATGTATGTGTGTATGTATGTATGTATATACATACATACATATATATATTTACATATATATGTATATATGGATGTATATACACACACATATATATATATATATGTATATATATATATACATATATGTATATGTATATATACATGTGTATATACATGTATATACACTTGTATATACATATATATATTATATATATATATATATATATATATATATATATATATATATATATATATATATATATATATATACATATATATATATATACATATATATATATATACATATATACACATACATATATATATATATATATATATATATATATATATATATATATATATATATATATATATATATATATATATATATATATATATATATACTTGGTTTTTTAGATTTTAAAAAAGAAAAAATTGGTTCTGCAAAGTTTGATTTATGGACTATTTACAATCAAACAAACCATTGTATTCAAAAGAAATGGGCTGTTCTTCAGGAAGTTAATTCTGAAGAGATTAAAGGATACATTCTAGTTAGTATTTCAATATATCAGACTGAAGAACCTGTTCAGCTTGCATTAAATGATGAAATTGACTTAGAAAGTAATCTTTTATTACCAATCGGATATACTGCACCTCGAGATGTTTATAGTTACAGCATTACTGTATATAAAGCTGAATCAGTTGCAGCAGCAAAACATTCAATTATTACTGCTAAAGAAAAAGTTAATATTTCTCATCCTTTTATCAAGGTGTTTTGTTATTTATTTTGCTTTTGTGTTTTTAAATAATTTTGCATTTGTATGTTTCGAACCTGTATACATTTAGTATAATTATGCTTCTAATAGTTATGTTTTTGTGAATATTTTTGTTGATCAAAAATGAGAAAAAAACTTAAAAAACATTTTTTATTGAAACAAAGTCTCAAAACATAAACTAAAAATTTTGTCGAATCAGTAACTACATTATCATTACTAAAGACAAACTACCTTTACACCCTTTCTTAAACACCCTTTCTTAAACTACTAGGATAAAATAAAAGCTAAACCAGTAAACAAGTGTTTCATTGCATTATATATTTTCATTTATGTTTTTATTATAAAGATCTTGAACTTGAAAAAAAATCTAGATAACTCGACAAAAAAGTGTTTTGGGCATTTTTTAAACACTAGGTATTTTAATGTATACAAACTCAATGAGTTTTATACATTAAAATAACAAATATTTTATTTTTAACAAATGTGTTAATAACAATTTTATGTGTTTCAGAAACAATTAAAACTAAATTTTCAAGGATGTTTTTAAAATAGGTATATATACAGGTAAAATTTCCATAGTTCTATCAGTTTGTTTTGAACACTTAATAAGAGTTTGATTTGATTTTGATTTATTTGTTCTATATGAATGTTTTGTGTATTTTTAATTAACATTTTTTATTTAATTATTAAAATATATAAAAAAGCAAAAATTGTTGCTTACAAAGATATGGGTTTGTCTAATTGACAATTTGCAAAGAAAATCTCATCATGCAATAAATACAACTGAAAATAAAAAATAACCAGAAGGCAACATTCTTCCATTTTGCATTTGGCACTATCTGGTGTACAAACAGCAAGATAAATAGGGACTGAACTTGGAATTACCTGCGACCACAAGATATGTCCAGCAAATTTTGTCAAAATCAGATTCCAGTGGAAAAAAATGATCAAAAAACCTCCATTGACAAAAAAATAAATGTGCAAGATTTAAATTTGCCAAAGATCACATGACATGGAGTGTAGAGTGATAAAATGTTTTTTCTAACAAAAAAAAAAATTAACTTAGATAAACCTAATGATTTCAAGTATTTTTGGAATGATTTGACAAAAAAAGATAGCATTACCATGAGATATAACTCCAGAAGATGGACAGTTATGACATGGGCTGCGGTTTGTTACCATGGTAAAATTATGTTTTATCACAACAAAAATAAATGCATTAAATTTTTGAAGATTTTTTAAAAGATGTTTTAATTAATTTTAGTGTACCTTCTGAAAATTGGATTTTTCAACAAGTGAAAAATCCAATTTTCAGTCACCTCACCTTCAACTTAAACCCTATTGAAAATTTATGGAGGGTATTTATGAAGAGGCACTAACTATGTATGGAAATTCTTGATAATATAATACAATATAAGAACTTCTATCTAACAAGTATGAAATGGTATTTCAAAGGTTTGTTTGAAAAATCTTATGAAAAGTATGAAAAACCGAATTTTTGAATTAATTAGTGTAAAAGGTGACAATACACATTATTTTTTACACAAAATGAAAATTATAAAATTTTACTTTTGATGAAACTATAGAGACTGCTATCATATATGTATCAGAGACTGCCAATATTTTGTCGCCTAGTTTATAAATATAGCAAAGGTTATTTTTTCCATATTGTATAATACGACATTTTTCATTATTAAATTGTAATTGCCAGATCTCTGACCATTCACAGGCTTGATTAATTTCATTCTAAAGCAATTGAAATTTCTCAGAGCTAGCTACTTTCCTGATTAACTTGGTGTCATCTGCAAAGAACTTAGAGTGTTCTAGAATCTATGGTAAATTGTTAATATATAAAATGAACAAGATTGAAGAAATTACCGATCCTTGGGGAGCACCGCTTGTTATCAATTCCCAGTTTGATGCTTCATTGCCTTGTATCACTCTTTGGTGTTGATTAGATAAAAAGTCGCTAATCCAGTTACAAATGACATTTGATATTCCATATGACTTGAGTTTGATTAATAATTGTTCATGAGGTACCGTGTCGAATGCTTTAGTAAGTCAAGATAACAAATATCTACTGGAATATTTTCCGCTAGCAATTTACTCAAAAGATCAATTGTTTTGATTAGATTTGTTAAACAAGATTTCCCCTTTACAAATCCATGTTGATGTTTATTTAATAAACCATTATTTGACATATGTTTATATATTGTGTCGGATAAAATACTTTTGAGTACTTTAGAGACTATTAAGGTTAATGAAATTGTAGTTGTTAGCAATTAACTTGTTCCCTTTTTTGAATATTGGAGTTATGTCTGCTAATTTCCATTTATTTGGTACTCTTATAGTTTTTAGAGTAATTTTTTAAAAATCATAGCAAGTGGAAAATCATAGCAAGTGGAAAAGCAAAGGCACATTGTTTTAGTACTATTGATTTAACCATGTCTGGTCCTGGATATATTCATTTAACTGAAGAAACATTTTCTCAAAGTTCTATCAAATCAGTTAAGCTTCAATTAAATTCTATTTGTTTAACTATTACACTAAAAATTTAAAAATATCAATTAAAATTAAAAATTTTAAACGTTCAAAAACTAATTACTTTTGCGTCAAACATAATTTAACAAACTAAACATTTTCACTAATATCTTCAATTCGGTTATACTTTGATCAAGTTTTATTTACTAAAAATGACTAAGGTTGCTGAACGTTAGCTATCAAGTAGAACTTTGAAACAAACATCAATTTTGGAATTTTTTTGTTTATAGTATATACTGCATATGCAAAAATATATATTTCGCATAAGATTATATTGTTCTATATATATGTACATAATATTTATATTTCAAGTAACATTCATTAAGTCTCGAAATCTCAATAAGTCGCAAGTATTCAAAAAGTCCGACTTAACGATACCTTTGCTTAATGCAGACATTCGCCAAGTCGGGCAATAAATATATACCCCTTCAGAGTCCGAGTTAATGGGATTCTTCTGTATTTGGTTATATTCTTTAATTAGTTTGTTTGTAAATGTTAAAGCGGATGGTATTATTTAAATTGTTTTTGCTGTTAATATATTTGAATAGTAGTTTTGGATTGTGTACTGATTTACTTACAAGATTCTTTTCAAATGAGCGCTTTACTTGTAGAACTGTACTCTTTAAGTCTTTGCACAATGGTTTGTATTTTATTTTGGATTCAGCCTGTCTATTATTTTTTGAATATAAATTTAACCATAGTGACCTTTTGACATGCACTAAATCTTTAATTTTTTGTGTAATTCAGGGAGATTTATTGGCATTATGAGTTCTAATTTGTTGTGGTATAATATTAAAGTAAATTAATAAAAATTTATTCTATATTTTGTCTGCGGTTAAATTCTTAAAATGCGTTGCCGAATTCAATTCTTCGACCACTCTACTTATTTCAGAATAGTTTCTGTTATGATAGTCAAAATATTTATTTGATGTTGTATTTTCACATTTAGACAATTCACTGTCGATGGATAATTTTCATATTAATACAAAATGTACTTTTTTGGTGTTGCCAAGAGGAGACAAATGCATTAATTCAAATACATAGGTTTATTGTTAAATATTAAGTCTAAAGTACTAATAGGCATAATGCTATTGTTAAAGAACGTTGCATCATTAATGTGTTGATACAATGAAGATTTATTTACAATACGAGCAAACTCTTTGTTGGTTTTATTATCACTTGTTCTAATGTCTTCAATTAAACTATTTGACCATGTAATTTTTGGGTAATTAAAGTCTCCTATCAATAACAAACTTGTATATACTTTATATACTTGTATATACTTTTTCAATTTTAGCATTTTTTATTGCATCATTTAATTGTTTATTTAAAATCGAATTCCCTGGGGGGTATATGATCCTATTAATATTTTCTTTTTATATTTTACTATAGTTACCCATATTATCTCAATATTTTGATCAATATTTGGAATTGTCACTTCATATTGCACAAAATCTTTTTTTATGTAGATAGCTACACCGCCACCTTTTCTTAAAGATGTGGCATTAGTGTACCAACATTTCAATTCACTACTTTTGTTTTTGCTGTAATACTTTAAGTTTGACAACTTTGTTTCCCCAAATCCCATATTGAAAGGGAGAATTGTTTTTTAAAGAATTTCTTAATTCATTCCGTTTAGTTTGCAGTTAAAAATTCAATAACCTTTCTGCTTTAGTTTGATCGAGACTCATGAACACGTTTCCAAATTTAAGGTTCCCTTTTAATTTTTTAGCTGCTGCTAATATTGGATTTCGATCGGCTTTATCTGGTAGTTCTATGACAATTGGACCTGGTTTATCTGTTTGAGATTTCAACCTTTTAACAAGAGTAGGTTTGATTTCTTTCTTATTTATAGTTTGAAGAATTTCAGTAATTTGCTAAATGTCATCATTTGCTTTGTCAATTATAGTTGTTTTACTTGATTCGACAACTCCAAAAATGATTATATTTTTTTCCCTCTTCTTTTTCTGTTGTTGTTCAATAGCTATTGAATTAATAGATATTAGTTGATCAATAGGCTTTTTCGAGTTTTTACTGGCCACCATTACCCAACTTTGAACTTTATTTAATTCTGAATTGCATGCTCCCTCATTAAGAATTTGAAGTTTTAACTCATTTATTTTGTCTTGCTTAAGTTTGAAAGCTTTTTCTAGCTCTAAAAACTTAGCATTCCATTTTTTTACTTCGATGTCAAGCATTTTTTGAATAGTCTCTTCCACTTGTTCGGTTTGTTGAGGCAATAAGTTTGTCATGCTATTTAATAATGAAATTAAATTATAATAATGATAGTTATATATAAATATTGATCGTAACAAATGTAATAAAGTAAAACTTATAAATTATTATAATAAATGGAATAATTAAGATTATGACAACTTAGATTAAGTAATAGAAATTTTACGTCACAATAATTATTAAAATAAAACTTAATGGCTGTACAAAAGCACAAATACAGAAAAGTTTTGGTTGAATGAGTTCGATAATTAGTTAAAAAACAATGGTATAGAAATTAAACACCAAATTGTATTATACAAAAATATATTGATAATAATAACATTAGTAATAAATGCACTAAAGTAGGAAAAAAATATATGTACAAAAAGTAAAGACACCAAATGGATTTCAATCAAAAATATAAGAAAACAGAAAATAATATATCAATGATGAATATAGTAGTAAATTACAATTAAGATAATATTTTTAAGTTCAAATTTAAGCCTTACATATCCCGAAAAAAAAACACGTCTTTACATGAAAGCGGAAGTCATATCATGTCACATATAAATGAATTCACAAAGTATCAATACTTTGTGAATTCATTTATATGTACAAATTGTAAGTGCAACTATGGAAATTTTGCTGAGCAAAATGCTAAGATAATTATTAGGTTATTATTCATTTTTTTTTTCATTTTTTTACATACTAATATAGAAACTAATAGAGAAACATAAACTGAAAATAATAACTTGTATTTGTGGCACTTTTCCCTTGATATCTTTATCATGTTCTGTATAAACTCTTTTCTTGTATGAAAAGTTACCTATTTATCACATGGTTTTTGTATGAACAATTGCTTACAGTATCATATATGCTTTTGTATGAACCATTCCTTACAATATCATATATGTTTTTGTATGAATAATAGCATATAATATCATATATGTTTTTGCGTGAATCATATATGCTGCTCTTGTAAAATCAAAAATGATTTTATAAAAAATTAAAATAATTACAACTTACCACTTTTTTAAATTTTTTAGTCTACTATTGATTATTACTGTATATATTTTTCTTACGTAATGTATGTCACATATATATCTGTATTACATATTGAGTTGTATGATCTGTATTTTGTTTTATGATCTGCATTATATATTCAAAATTTTATTAGATTGATTTTGGTGGCGAATCAGAATCAACTAAACATGTTAAAAAGTCAGTGGACCCTGTGTTTAACCAAGTTATTGAATTTCGAGATTACTTTCCTCCAATGTACAAGCGAATAAAAATTTCATTAAATTGCAAACAAGGTGGTCTGGAGTCAGATGAGGTTCTAGCCACACATTTTATTGATTTGTCTGATATTTCATATTATGGGGAAGATATTGATTGGATATATGCTGATTATGGTATAGGTAAAATACCTAATGGATTTTAATATTTTTTTTATATTTAAACTTTTTTTCTTAGTAATTAAATACATAATATGTACAATACTGAAGTTACTTTAGATGTTGTGTACCCTCCAACCTTTGGACCATGTTGGATCAATCTCTATGGATCAACAACAGACTTTGAAAGGCACGAACACATGAACCAAGGATTTTCTAAAGGGAATTCCTATCGAGGTCGAGTCCTTATTGAAATTCAATCAAATCGACTTGAAAACCTGAATTCGAGTGATATGAAAATCTGTAAAAATGTAGAGAGTTATATAGAAGAAAAGCTGAAACGAGAAAATTTTTTATTATTTGCTACTTTTTATGAAGCATCTATGTTAGAAGAAAAACACAAAGGAAAAGAAATATGCTTTGAGGTTAGTATTGGCTCATGTGGCATACACGATCTCAATCAAAGTTCTATTAATACAAAAATAACCATTGGAAATAATGATGGATCTAAAAACAGTTATAGCCTTGGTTTAGAACCAATCGAAGACAGATGGCCATTCACTGAACCTGTAAAAGCAACATTGGCTTCATCAAAGAATTCATGTTTTTTAGATTTTGGAACATCAAAGCCCAATGTTTTTCTTGAATTTAATAAATTAGATGATTCGTTTCGCTTACACCTAATAATTGTACTTAAAAAGATATACAACAAAATTGACAATTGTTTATCTATTGTAGACAAAACCGCTACAACAGCAGTTAATGTATCAACAGCGGCTATTACTCAGGCATTTGTCACTTTCTCAAAACAAGTTCAGGAAGTTTTACTTTATTATAAAGCATTGTTAAACAGCAACACTTTAAATAAATTAGATGAATTTTTGGCCAAAAGAAGAATGCAGACTCTGGTAAGTTTAGGTATAAGCAATTTTTTTTTTTTCATTCGGATAAAAGGCAAAATAATATTGCATTTCAAAACAATTGTAAAATAAAGTTGTGACAGTTACTTCAACATTTATTTTCATATTTATTCTGTCTAATTTAATTTTAATATATAAGTTTTCAGGTTGCACTCAGAGTTATAACTGATTTATGTTAAATCAAGTTACCAGTTACAGTTTCAGTTACATGCTACAGCATTTTGTTTCATCAAAATGGAAATTTTAAACAATTTTGCTTCTTTGAAGTGTTTCTACTGAAAAATTTAAATTAATTAGTAACAGAATAAATGTGGTTCGGTTTTTAAATTACAAAAATAGAAGTAGCACTTTGGTGTTTTTTATGACTAATCATTTTGTTTGGTTCATACCCAGCTAGCACACATACGATGATAAAAGGTTAGAACAATGTTGCGGAATGCGTTGGCCCAACATTGACCACCAACATTGTTTTTATATCATTTTGGTTACAAATGCGACGTTTTTGTATCATTTTGGTTACAAATTCTGAAAACCAAAAATCAACATAGGCCCAATGTTGTATTTTAAGTTGGTATTGCATAATATTTTACATTGATTCAATGTTGTACTTTACATTGGCACAACATTGTGTTTTACATTGGCAAAATATTGTTTTAAGTTGATTCAATGTTATATTTTACATTTGCACAATGTTATATTTAATTTTTATTAGAGTTAAATTTATTTGTTTTATATTTTAGTATATATTTATACACATTAAATATTATATATTTAAAAGCATATATAATTGTATATATGTACTTATACATATACATATCATTTATTTTGATGAATCAACACTGCTGGTATTGTGGTTTATCCTCCTCCAGCTAATTGCCATAAAAAGGCCATATACCATGACCTGCCAAGACAAGTTCAGCTCACTAAAGAGCGTTATAACTTGCTTTGTAGACCAAGAATATGTGAATTTAAGAAGAAAAAAGATTATAAAGTGAAATTCAGAAGAAGTTGAGTTAGAAAGTTGGCATAGAGAAAGCGAACAGATATTGCACTAGATGTTAGAATGTGTAATTTATGTTCAATATCAAGTTCACTTGATAAGAACTCTTGTTACATATATAGTTTTACATAATTTACGAAACATCATTCAACATCGAATCAACGTTGCTGGTTTATTCTCCTTTGGCTAATTGTCATATAGAGGCATTCAACATTGCTGATGGTATTGTGGTTTATCCTCCTGTCGCTAGTTGTCATACATATGTTACATTACCAAGGTCTGCAAAGATGAGTTCAGCTCACTAAAGAGCATCATAACTCGCTTTGCAGACCAAGAGTAAGTGATTTTGAGAAGAATTAAGGAATTAGAGTGAAAGTCAGAAGAAGTCGTGTTAGAAAGATAGCATAGAGAAAGCAGACAGATATTGCACTAGATGTAAGAATGTGCAATTCATACTATTAATTAGGTCACCTAATTAACCTATTAGTATAAACATAATCAACATTGCTAATGATATTTGTTTCAAATTTAATCTATATACATTGAATCAATGTGGGGTTATACACATTTTGTTAAGTTTGATCCATATACATTGGATGTGTTGATCCATATACAATGTGTTGATTCCTACACATTGAATCAATGTTTAGATCGGAAAAACAACCATGTTTATTCATATGTTGGACCATTTTGCTAACTATTTTTATTCACATTGTTATTTAGGTTTTCATTAATATAAATATGAAAAAAATAACATTGGATCAACTTTGTATTTGCATCATAAGCAGCCAATGTTTTCGATTTTATTAAATACGTTGGCCCAACATAAGTGAGCTAGCTGGGTACTATGTACATATATATATATATATTTATATATGTATATATATATATATATATGTTTAAATATGTATTTATATGTATATATATGTATATATATATATATGTATATGTAAATATATATATATATATATATATATATATATATATATATATATATATATATATATATATATATGTATATATATATATATATATATATATATATATATATATATATATATATATATATATATATATGTATATATATATATATATATATATATATATATATATATATATATTGTTAACTGGCAACAGCAGATTAACCGAGCAAGTGCTCTCCTATGTGATGGACCTGCAGGTCATCTTCGTGGTGCTAAGCATAAAATTGAACGAGAATTATCGTAAAACTCTCAAAGACATAACTTCTTTAAAAACCGAGTGGTGTCATCATAGAACACTTTGCCTGCTTCGGTAGTAGTTGCGAATTCAATTGATCGTTTCAAAAACAATTACTTCAAAAGGAATTGTTCTATCTTGCATCAGTCTTCTATACTCGGGTCTCATTAGACACTCGGCAATAGAAGTCTAACTTCTATTGTAGAAAATACTATAATAATATACTGATTTAAACTAAAAGCTAAAAAAGTTTATTTATTACAATGAAAATAGGCTTTAAGGCGAGGTTTTTTTAGAAATTCTAAATTTTAATGTAAACTTTTCATTACTATTCAAAAAAAATTGCTCAAAAAGCATTATATTAACTTATAGATATAGTTTAAAAGCTGTTGCATCACTGAACCTATCAACGGGATAATTAGCATTTTACAAAAAAAAGCGTGGTAAGGAATTCAAAATATCATCCAGATTCAATGTTCAGATTTCGTTATGGGTTTTATTCAAATAAATTTTGCATTTTAATATTATGAAGGGCTATTAGTAAATATTTGTAAAATATTGGATTTATGTTGGCATTTTCTTATAAATTTTTAAGAAATGTAATTAAAATTAAAAGTAAAGAAAACGTTATGCAGAATACCAAGCTGATGTTTCTCAAAATGCTGATAAAAAGAAAGAAATGTCCAGAGTAAGATCTGAGAGATATCAAGTAAAATTGAAAGCTGATCTATATAAAAAAGCAGTTTATGCTGCTAAAGCAAAATTTAAAAAGTTTAAAAAAGTCACGCTCTAAAAAAAAAACTTTTAAATCAATCTCAAAGACTCATATTTTAAAAATGTTCAACAAAGAGGAAAAGCATTGAAAAAAGTTTTAAAAGCATTACCAACTTCAAAGAAAAAACAATCTGAAATTCTATCTATTCTTTCAAATTACTCTGCTTGTAAAGATAATTCGACTCCAGACCTCCAGTATAATCAAAGCTGCATAATCTTTCTGAAAGAGATATTTTAGCAGTTGTAAACTTTTATAATGAAGATGAAGTTTCCCAAATAACACCAAACAAAAAAGATGTCACTCTAATTCAATTATCTGGCGAAAAAGCAAACAATATTCAGATACGTAATTTATATTATACGCTAAAAAAAGCTTTTGAGTTATTCAAGTAAAAGCATCAGTACATAAAAATTGCACTCAGTAAATTATGCGACCTTCGTCCACGCAAGGTGAAATCAGTTACAAAATTTCCATATAATGTTTGTATTTGTAGCTTGCATGAAAATATGTAATTTACCTTACATGCATTAACAAAATCAATTTAGGCGGTTCAATCAAAGTTGGATTTGAAATGATGAATAACTTTAATTGTGAACCGTACACATGCAATTGCGCTTAAGACAAATGCGTTGCATGCAAAGGTATGAAACAGTTCAATAAACACTTGCAAACTGTTAATACATTTGGTTTCGAAGTATCCTCGGAGGAGTGGAGAAAGCCTAAAACTGAAATTTATGCAAACATTGAAAAAATTTCAATAAAGTCTACTGTAACAGATCTTATGGCGTGGCAAGTTCGTTAAACACGCATTTGTAAAGAAAAACCAATCAACAATATTTAGAAACTAAAGAAAGTTTCGTTGAGTATTAATTCTGAAATTGCGGTTATCCAAGTTGACTGGGCTGAAAATGCTCGGTGTTTCTATTAAAATGAACCGCAAACGGCTCATTTTGGTCAAAATCAAGTTTCTATCATGACCCTTGCAGTTTGGAACATTGAGTTAAAAATATTTGCCATAGTTTCTGATTCAACTGATCGTACAAAGTCTTCCGTTATACCGTACATTGACAAAATCATTCACTATATTTCTAATCAAGTCAAAGAAGTACACATGTTCAACAATAATGCCACTTCTCAGTTCAAAAACAAAAGCATTATAGCTGCAATGGTTGTGTTTGAAAAACATTTTCATAAAAAATTCTTCTGGAATTTCTTTGCAGTGATGCACGAGAAAGGAGTGCAGGGTGCTTAGGAAGATGCTCTGAGACCTTGCAACCCATCACCAGAAATTTTTTTTTGCTTATAATTAGAAGACTCTTCCTTATTTCAAAAATAAAAAAAAAACTTTTTTTACTGGGGGCCTAAGGAGAAACATAATTTAGGCGAGTGCCTAGTAATTTTGTTGTTCAAGATAGGTAACTAAGAACTATGTGGCATACTCAAATTTTTAGTATGTTAATACTAATATCAAATGAGGATGAATTGCAAAAAGTTTAGGTAATTGAAGCTAACCCAACCCCGTCCCGACCCCAAATTGCCCCCTTCCCAGAACTATGTATCCTAAGCTAATAAAGTTTTTTTCAAATTCTATCACAAATTAGACCAAAATTTATTGACAGATTTCAAGTTTCATCAAAAAATATCTTTTCGTTTAAGATTTATGACCACAAGAAGTTCAAAATTCCACAAATTTACCCCCTGAAATAACTTTGAATGGTCGTAAATTTTAAGCTAGATATTTTTTTGATGAAATTTAAAATCTGTTGATGAATTTTGATCTAAGGAACCATACACTAGGGGTGGGGTATTAGGGTTAAGTACAACTACTTTATGGCCATAAAAAAAAATATTTCTGGTCTATTTGGTTAAATTATTCTTTATATTTTGCATGAAATATATAATCATATCATATATTAATAAATTATGTTAAACAATTGTTCATAAGAGGTAAATATATTATACTTTTTACAAGCTGCCTGCAAATTGAAAGCTACTTTAAAAGTGTTTGTAGTTGTAAGCAATAACTGCGTTTTTTAGCGCTTCAATATAGTTTTGGCTGTGTTCTCTAACTTTTCTCATTTGCCTAAACTGATTGAAATCCTGATGAATGGATTCGGTCCAGTAACCTAAGCGTACAGAATATAAAATGCACAAAATAGACCAGAATAATTTTTTTTTTATGACCATAAAGTAGTTATAGTTAACCCTATTGGACCCCTAATACCCCACCCCTAGTGTATGGTTTACCTAATAGAACTTTTCAAATTTTTTTTGTGTTATATTAAACTAGATCAAAATTCATCAACGGGTTTTAAATTTCATCAGAAAAAAATATCTAGTTTAAAAGTTGTTACCATTCAAAGTTATTTCAGGGGGTAAATTTGTGGAATTTTGAACTTCTTATCAGGCTTTCACAGGAAGACGTGCGATTTCATGTCTTTATATGACCATGCAAGTTACATTTTGCTATGACGGTTTGACCGCGGCTAATTCAAAAAACATTTTAGAAATGCGCTAAATAAAAAATATTCTAAAAAAGTGAAATTAATTACATCAAAACTTCTTAGCAAATGTTTTTATATTAGCGAAACAATTTTAAATAAAGTAACAATTTACTGAAAAAAAGTTTTGTTTTTTAAATATAATTAACAGTTGTATATATTTTTTTAAATAAAAACTATAAATTGTTTAAGAGTTCATTTCTAAAATAAATCTTATTAAAAAATAAAAAATTGTTTTGTTTTTATAAACGATGACATTCTACGACTACGAAAGTCTCTTTAAAGAATTTAAATATAAGAATGATTAAAGTTAATGCATTTAAAAAAATAAACAAAATTTCATTAAAAAAAAAAGTTTTAGAAAACCGTTACAATTTAATAAGTTTGATCTTAAATACTTTTATATTATCGAAACGCTTTTAATGAAGTTAAAAAAAAAAACACTTCTAATTAATTAAAAAAAAATTACTAATAAAATATTTTTTTATTTTATTTATATAACTATGTATTTTTTATGAGAAATATTTAACTTTTGAACATATGAAATAAATAAAAAATGTGTACAAATGTTGAAACAAAAATTGAAAAGGTTTTTTAATGCGTAAATTAAATAAACTAAGCATTTTAGTTTGATGAGTTTTGTTTTAGTTGTGTTATATATATATATATATATATATATATATATATATATATATATATATATATATATATATATATATATATATATATATATATATATATATATATATATTTGTTTTTCCTTCAACTAAGTATTTTTTTTATTTTCTCCTTCGTTATTATTTATTATTTTTTTAAATTTTTTTTTCAGATAAGTTTAGGTAAGTTTTTGTAGCGCGTTTTTAAATTTTAAAACATTTTTTTTTTTGCATGGTCATATAAAGACGTGAAATCGCACGTCTTTCTGTGAAAGCCTGCTTATGGTCATAAATCTTAAACGAAAAGTTATTTTTTGATGAAACTTGAAGTCTGTCAATAACTTTTGGTCTAATTTGTGAAAAAATTTTATTAGCTTAGGATATGTAGTTCTAGGAAGGGGGCAATTCAGGGTTGGGATGGGGTTGGGTTAGCTCCAATTACTTAAACTTTTTGCAATTTATCCTCATTTGATACCAGTATTAACATGCTAAAAATTTGAGTATGCCGCATAGATCTTAGTTGCCTATCTCAAACAACAAAATTACTAGGCACTCGCCTAAAATATGTGGTTTCTCCCTAGGCCCCCGGTGAAAAAAGTTGTTTTTTTACATTTTTGAAAGGTAGAAAAAAAGGAAGAGTCTTTTGATAATAAAAAAAAAAAATTCTGGGGATGTGTTGCAAGGTCTCAAAGCATCTTCCTATGCACAGTGAATGGTTGACTGAATAGGAGCTACTGTTAAGCAAATTGCAGCCCTGAGAGTTAAATCTAGTCATTAGCATTACAAGTTTTGCAATTTATATGTCAGTAAACGACATAAGATAATAAAATAATGAACTTGGATTCAGTTCAATTTTAGGTTATTCAAGAAAAATTAAAGATATATCAAAATCACATCATTTTTATGTTCAGAATGATAACGTTGTTCCGATGCTATTTTCACTTGAGTATAATTAAAGTTTATTACAAAATAACAAAATGATTTTAATTCCACCTTTTTGTTTTGTCACTGAATGTTGCATCACTGAACTGATAGTTTTTTTCTGTAAAGTCTTGCCAAATGAATAAATTACAACAAAAAAGTCTAATTAGTCTAGCAAGAATTAAAATTTCAGCAAAAACTCCATTTAAAAGTATGCTGATAAAAAAACACTTTTTTCTGGTTTGTGAAAATTTTTTTTAATAAAAATTTCTCCGCATGATGCGTTACTGAACTATGGAATTGGCCATGTATATATATATATATATATATATATATATATATATATATATATATATATATATATATATATATATATATATATATATATATATATATATATCCTTATAGTGTAGTCGAAAGAGCGTTTTAATGTAAAAAAAGTCTCTTTTGAATACAATTTTAATTACCTCGTCTCTTAAGCTGCATTTGATTGTCGTCGAAATGTCAAAGCAATTAAATTAATGCGGAATATATATATATATATATATATATATATATATATATATATATATATATATATATATATATATAACATATTTAATAAATGCCCATGCTTAAAAAATATATTCATATGAATCTAAAGGTTATAATTATTCTAATTTTTATTTTTATATAGTTCATTTTGTTGTAAATTTTTAAATTAATACAATAATGTAATATAAAATAATAGATATTAAGTAAACTGTTTAGTATTAAATATTTAGTTAAAAAATATTAGAGTTTGAGAAAATCTTTTATTCTTTATCTGTATCATTCCTAATTGATGCTAATTAAATTTATTTATGGTATATAAAAACTTTAGTTTTTCACATATTAGTGAAGCAAAGTTACAAAAAAAATTTAAAAATATAAAAAGTTTAAAATTTTTTTGAACTTATCTTCTTTAATTTGTTTATGTTAATTTATAGTTAGCAAACACTTCAACACATATTTTATATTTTATTATATAATTTTATTTATATATTTTATTGTATAACTATTTCGTTATTCTTTTCAATAGTATTTGTAGCTTATAATTAATTTACTTTTATTATTGATATGTGATGGGCTTTTATAAAACCAATAAAAAGTTGCTTTTTTTTTATCATTTCTATAAATTTTTAATAAGTTTTTTTGAAATTTTCAGAAATATTATTATCTTTTTTACTACTATATGTAATTTTTCTTATAGGAACAATTGACAAAACTGTTTGGTGACCTTAGAGTCCAAGAAGCAACAATTGCTCAAAAAATAGAAGTTCTCAAAATTATTAAAATGCAGTTAGGAACACTTGTTAATGATCCTCAGCAAAGTTTTCCAGATATTTTTATATGGATGATTGCAGATAAAAAGAGAATTGCCTACACAAGAGTAAAAGCAGAAAGTGTATTGAACTCACAAGATTTATTTTTTTGTGCGCCATATACTGGAAAATTGCAGTCATTGTTCTTACAATTTTATAAGTTTGATAAACAAGAACGCAACCAAAGATTTATTCAAGGTAAAATTGAAATTCGTATATGGTTGGGTTGTTCCACAAACAAACCTGTAAATTACTTGCCATCAGATGATAGTTTTGAACTGCCAATAGATCGAAGCACTCCATATCCTCGACATCTAGAATATAAAAGTGCTCAAAAATACATTCTTCATGCTCATATTTTTCAAGGTCGAACTGTTTTTGGATCTGATGAAAATGGCTTGTCGGATCCTTTTGCAAGAGTTATGTTTGGAAATAACATGGAAGAAACATGGGCTGTTCCAAAAACTCGCATGCCATTGTGGGATCAAAGTTTTGTTTTTGATAAAGTGACATTGTATGGAACTAACTCAAATATGCCTTCACCTGTTGTTTTAATTACAATATTTGATAAGGATTCAAATGGGGAAGAGTTCATTGGACAAGCTATTGCTTCTCCAAGACTTATAACCAATGGTTATGTACCTGCTAAATTACAGCTGATACCACTATATCTAGGTAAACAGTCTGTTGGGGATATACTTGCTTCATTTGAATTGTTTCCAGTAAGTTATTTTATTTTTGTATCATTCGAAGACATTTTGAAATGAAGTATATATGAATATACTAAATTTTTAAAAAAATTACCTAATATGCAAAATAACTCAACTGATTAGGGCATTTTTAGGTATTTATAGTAAAGAACGGAATGTTGTGTCCAATATGTGCAAAACATAAAAATTCAATTTGTGTCGACTGTGTTTATTTAACGCAGAGCTCTACCATTTAATGTAGAAAAATTAGTGTTTTATTTATAAATAATCAATGTTTTAAACATGTAAAAATGTTTACTAATACATTTGGAGAGACAATTTGCCTTATTTAACAAAGATTACAATTTTCACAGTTAAATCTATTTACAATGTTTACATTTTAAATCAACAAATAAAAATCAACAGTTTTTTGATAAAATAGATTTTTATTGTTTAATTTATTTTTATTTATTTATTTCTACAGCATAGATATTACAAATCTTTGCAGAGTAGAATTATTGTAATCCCACTATAGTAGCAATCAGTTAGTTGTTTTTTGTTAAGACATCATATTTTTTCTTAAATTGGTTAACTGTTTTTGACATTACTAAGTTATTTGGTAAATTATTCCAATGTGGCACTATCCTGTTGCTGAAGAAATTTTCACAGTAACTGTATTTAGTAAACTCTCTGTACTCTTTGTGTGGTTCTCCTCTGATATTAGAAGATGGACATTTTAGAGTTGAAGAAAAAGTTTTTGAATTCGGATGACATCAGTTTGCTTTATTTAAATTTGTTTCTATTTTATAATATTGAATGAGGTCCCCTCTAATTCTTCTGGATTCAAGACTTTTTAACTTTGAAATTGATAAACGTTTTTCATAAGAATTGTGCTTGAGAGCTAGGACAAGCTTTGTAGCTCTTTGCTGAACTTTTTCAAATTTTTTTATTTTATTTTTCAAATGTGGATTTCAAACTGGTGCACAAAACTCTAATCCACGTCTAACATAAGTTGTATATAGTTTAGTAAAGGAATCAATTGACCAGAATTTAAATGTTCTCTTTAGTGTACCTAGTTTTGAGTAAGCTTTATTGCTTATGTTGATACCTAGGTCATGTTCCTGTGTTGTTTCATTTAATTTGATGATTGTTCCATCGTGGGTTGTTATATATAGTGGAACAGCTTGATTTATTTGGTCAACTAATTTTGAAAATCAATTAGATTTCTATAAATTTTTAGTAGACTGTTACTTATTTCATTTATGTCTTGATTATTGAATAGTTGAAACCAGTTGATGCTGTTGAATGCTATATTTAGATACATTTTTGGTACATTTTAATATTTTTTTGATTTTTTTGTATGGTGTGTGATTCATTTAGATAAAACTCCCAGGTTAGTGTTGAATGGAGGCAGTTTTTTTTTGACTGAGATATTGAATCATTAACGTTAATTGTATAGATTTAATTTAACATTAATTGTTTGGGTCATTTGTTATTACTAGAACAATGATGTTGTTATTAAGAGTTGGTTCTAGCACTGATTGTACTAAGAAATTTGAATTAAGAGTGTCTAGAAATTCTATACTGGGTTGATGTGAACAGTTTGATCCTCCATCAATGTCCCATAAAATGTCTCAATAGTTGAAATAGCCTGCTTTTAGGAGACTTGAAAAATGTTTAGAGCTAACTAGTTGGGCAGCTGTTGTAATGGAATTGTTAATTGCAGTATTTACTTGGTGTTCTGAGTGTGGTGGTCTGTAGATGCAACCAATAAGGATAGATTCTGCTTTAGTTTTAATTTCACACCAGATAGATTCAATTATAGAATTTTTTAACTGTTCGTAATTTATTTCTAGTGATGTAATGTCTTTTTTTATGTAAATCACCACACCTCCACCTTTTTTCCTTGTTCGATTTTTATTGTAGTGAATGTAGTTAGGCAGGAAGATAACAGATTTTTTGTCAAACCAGGATTCTGATATGCATATGATATGTGGTTGGTTTCGTTTACTCAGCATTATTTGAAATTCATCCATTTATTATTTAGTGAAATTGCATTTGAATAAAAGCAATTTAATTTTTTTAATTTGTGAATACCTGAATTAAATTAGTGAGGTTTGGATAGTTTTGATTTTAATTTTTTTAAGTTTGTCTGAACGGATCCCCTAATAATATTTTTTTCCATTATGTTCATTGTAACGTTACCTCCCATTACTTCCAAGAACTTCACGTGTTTGTAACGTTACCTCCCATTACTTCCAAGAACCTCACATGTTTGTAACGTTACTTCCAAGAACTTCTTAAGTAAGAGCTGCATTTCTTGTGTTTCTGATTTTTCTTAATTCATTGTCAAATAGTCGTTTATTTTCAGTTTTATCTTTGTTAATGTAAACATTTTTGAAGATATCAATATCTTTTAATTTCTTTGAATTACTAATTATTAACTTTTGAGTGTTTACACTGTTTAGTTCAATTAAGATCAGGTCTGGGCGTCCTTCTGATGCTTTATTTTTTGTTGTTAAACGTATTATTCTTTTCGTATTGTTTAATGAAAGGTTGACACTGATTGCTTTTAGCATTGTTTCAATTTTTTGTTTATCATTTTCTAAGGTTATATTTTTGTCTTCACTAGGTGATTCGGTAATACTGCTGACAATAATATTGTTTTCAATTTTCTTTTCGGTATTGAATTCATGGGTAATTTTTACAATCATTAAACTTCAGTTTCTTTTGGTTTTGGTATATTTTGTTTTGTTGCTTCCATGTATGAGAAAATTGTTGGGTTGTCTAATATAATGTCGCTGAATAATTTTTTTTTTGAGGATTCTGTATCCCAGATTCGATTTTTCTTTCAAGTTCTTCAATTTTATTTTTCAGGATTTTGTTTTCATCATTTAGAAGTTTAAATGATTTGGCAAACAACTTAAACCATTCATGATGTTTTTTGGATGTGTCTGAATGGTGCCCTGAACCCAGACTTTCTTGTATGATTGCATCCAGTGATGTTGAATCCATGTTTCTTTGGATAAAGAGTAAAGGAGGGTTACCGACCTGAATAACAGTGGATTACCTCCTTTTTATTCTTTTATACTATTAATCTAGAACTTATTAACGCAATAAAACAAGAGTTATTAAAGCGTTCTTTTCTGTGAATTAATTTAATCAAAATTTTAAATTTAGTTTATTAATTAAAAATTAAATTCTTTTTATAATAATCAAGTAAATTTTTTTTAATGATATACATTAGTTATGTATTAATTGTTATTTTAATATAAGCATTAATATAAACATTAAGAAATTGTAATTTACATTATTGTACATGTTTTTTTTTTTTAAATCTGATTTACTCCCAACAAAACTGCAAGCAACCACTATTAAGTTGGGAGTTACTAGAAAAAAAAGAGTAGAGTTATAGAGCAAAGAAACGGTTGACAGAAGACTTAAAAAGTTAAAGGTTGTATGAGTCAGGAAAAAATGAAGATTGGAGTTCCAAAAGGTTGGGAAAAAAATGCTGGGAAAAAAACTAGTTAAATAAAAGTTTTTAGAGCATGATACAGATACAGTAGAAAAAATGAGACTTTGCTGAATGACAAGTAAAGTCAGAATGAATTTTAGCTGATCAAACCAGAGATAATAGCTCTTTGACCATGATAATATTTGTAGAAAAGAGAAAGAAATGCAACTTTACAACAATAAGAAAGAGGCTCAAAGGTAGCATATAGGTGGGTCCAATTACGTTTATAATGCATTTTTGGACCTTGTCTAAAAGAGAAAGAGCATCATTAGAAAAACCAGCCCAAATATGACAACATACAGGGACAAATAAGAGATTTGTTCAGGTAGAGAATGAAATCAAGAGTAAGAAAAATAGCTAGAACAATAAGGAAAAGCAACCTTAGAAAATGCTATCTTAGCAATCGATTGTATGTATAGTTTCCATGAAAAGTCACTAGTAAATGATAATCTAAGAAGACATAGAGAAGTGGACTCAGTGAGAGGGTTGCCATTTATTAAAATAGGAATGTCTACAGTATTGTGATAGTTATTTTCAGTAAATAACTGAGTTTTGTTGGAGTTTTACAAGCCACTGTGAGCCCAAATCATCAACAAATCATCAGCAAAAAGAGTTACTTTAGATGTAAAGTTGTGGGAAGATCATTAATGTAGATAAGAAACAAAACAGGACCAAGGATAGAACCTTGAAGTACCCCAGAAGTTACTGGAAAAGAAGAAAAGTGTTACTTGACTCAAGATGGGATGTGAGAAACTTGTTTATCAAAGACTGAAAGATCTGATTAATAACAGAAAGATGATTGATTGGATGATAATTGGAGGGGTAACAATATTCTCCTGAGTTTTTCAAAATCGGAACAACAGATGCCATTATCCAGCAGGCAGGAAAAAAAGTCTCAGTCAAGGACTTATTAAATAGATTAGAGAGAGTTCTGGAGAACACTTTTGTAACACTATGACAGGAATGTTGTCTGAACCATAAGCCATGGAAGAGTTTAATTGAGATATGACTTCAGCATTGGAAGCTTGAGTAATTTTAATGTCTAACAATGGTTTAACATTAATGTGTAATGTTTAATGTAACCTGTTTAATTAGAATAGATGGAAGAGAATGGTCATAAGATTCAGGAGTCGAATTTAAGAAAGGTTTTTTTCAAATAGTTCTGTTTTATCCTTTGGAGAGGTAATAAGATCAGTCTCATGAATAAGTGATTGAGTGTTACCTTTGTTAATGATGCTGTTGAAGATTTTCCAAAAGTCTCTGGAGCCTAACTTATTTCACAACAAATAAGAGAATTGATGAGTATGTATACCAAGCCAAGCATGTGACTATTGGAGTCTTTGCGAATCAAAAGATTGTACCCATTAACTCTGAGATCTGAAAAAGGAATAGCAGAATTTAGATTAGTCTCACTAAGAGCAAGCAAATCTGGTGAATTTCAAGCTAATCTGGTGAAAAAGGTAAGATTTAACTAATGGAAGGTTGCTTTGCAAACCACAAATATTTGTAAGAAATATATCAAGGCAGTTAAGCGGTGGAGATTTTTTATGTTTAACACTTTGGGTCACTTTTGGCATGATTTAAGTTTAGAGAGAACTTGACTATTTCATATATAGAACAAAGCCTTCTAAGCAATGAGCTATGCAATTTTTTCATTTTTATTAACTAGCCCTAAGTCATAATATAGGGCTCCCTATATGGCCTTGACAATGTGTACCAAAAATATTAACAGGGGCACCACCCATGTGCAGCATGGCACTCTTAAAGCTCTGATATTTTGCAGCTGTTAATGAAATCAGCCTCTCTAAGAGCTATCACAGCGTTCAAGAAACCTTACTACCAGCCGGCCTAAGAACCATTAAACTGAATTTTAGAGCTGTGCCCTCATTAGGAGATAACAGGAAGAGTTGCATAGCCACTATTTGGGAGGCACAAGCAAAAACCTATGAGAAGAGTTAAGAATATCCAGCATTCATCATCCTAGGCTGGAAACAATGTAACACAGGTTTATATTTATGCCAACCTCATAGATAAAGAAGGGGTTCATGGCTGGTTTGCAGAATTTTTCTGCCTACCCTTAAAGTCTTTGCTTAGGAGGCTTCCTATAAAACAGTAGCTGGATGCAGTTTACATCTGCTTAAGATGAGTAATTTTATTGAAACACCATCTCTAGCCTTTACCAAGAGCCCTAAGCAGGAAAGTCATTTTTAAAGTCATAGATTGTTTCTTTGCCTAAAAAAGCACACCCTACAAAGCAGCAGGGCATGTGGCAAGTAGTACTGGGTTACATGATACTAGTAGCAGGTTAATTGTGATGATCCTGACATGTTTGAAAGTGAATTTATCATTTGTATATTTAAATCAAAGTACTAAAAAAATTTGAATCTATAATTTTTGAAGGAATTGATGAAGAATTTTATCAACGTATCTATTGTAAAATAATGGCTGAGTACCATTCAAATTGTCCACTTGTTTTTAAATTGACTAGTGAAAATGTTTACCAAACAAGTGCCAAATGGGAGGTTATTTTAAGCTCGTCATTTACAGAAATAAATTTTAAGTAGTAAAATTTATTTACATTTTTTAAAACTTAGTTATAAAGCACTTAAGTTTATGTCATTTTTATGTAATTTTGATTGTTTTTATAAATTTTTATATTTGTAATTTTGTTTTTATAAATTTTTTTAAATTTTAATTATTATTTAATCAAAAACTTGTTTTAAATCCATTTAAAAATGTCAGAAGAAAATAATAGTTGATCTGTTAAAATTAGTAGTTATTTTTTTAACAAAAATAATTAAATTTGAGGATAAGCCAATATAATCAGATAAGCAGATTTCAAAATGTAAATTTTAGAAATATGTTAAGGTTAATTGAGGCAATTTTTGTATCCACATTACCCAAGATGTGAGCAATGTGAATCAGTGCAGTTTTTCTGAAGACTTATGATTAAAAAAAAACTGGTTAAAAGAGCCCTTTTAAATTTGCTTTATCAGCTTTCTCATTCTAGAGAACACCTTTAGTTTAAATCAGTGCATACATTTAAATAGATATTTTTTATCAATTATTTTAAACTATAAAAAAATAAAAGCAATATAAAATGTTTTAAATTTGTACTGTTTAAAAATGAAAGCTGAGCTGAAAACAACTTCAAGAAATGAAAGACATTTTAAAAATAGTAAAAAAAAAAAAATCAATTTAAATGCGTTTAAAAAAAAAAAGAGCAAACAATCTAATAAACTGAATGCTAATAAATATATTGAATCAAACAATCTAATAAACTGAATGTTTAAAAATATATTGGATCAAAGTTTAATATCTTCTGCTCAAAAACTCAAATCTTAGATTTGGAAACAGTTTTATGTTTCAACAAGACAATTATACAAACACACTGGTAATAAAAAATTAAATTTTTTGATGAAAATCTCATAAATGTTTTAGAATGATCTGCACTGAGTCCTAATATTAATCCAACAGAGCATTTATGGAGTTTTTAGATTTAAAAAAAAAATAAGTAAAAGAGTGTTTACATAATAATTTTTTGCTGTTTAATCATTGTTTAACAGTGTCAATTATCAATTTAAATGTTTAGTGTAATCAATGACAAAATATTTGCTAGATTTAGATATGTATGAAGTACACGTTAAAGCAAAGGATGTACTAACTAAATATATTGAGTATATTAACAAAAAGTATATTAATAAAGTACAAAAAATTTTTTTTTGTCAGTTGTTCTAATAAACCTATGTGTTTTCTGAGTTTTCTTTAATCAAAATCAAATTGTCATGACAATAACTCAAACTATTATAAATCTTTAAAATTTTTATAAAGTATATATTTATAAAATAAAATATTTAAAAAAATATAAATGTTAGATACAAATAGTGCTTGTTGGAATGCTTATGAAACTTACCCAGAGTTTCTTGCCCAAATGAAATTTTATGCACTTGTCATAATGTCTTTGAAATTTCAACTTCAATGCTGCAAGTTTACTTTGCCTTTCAAATTATTAAGATATGCGTAGTTCTTTTGCAATAAGTTTAACTATTTTTTAAGATCTTAACTAACAAGCCTAAAATGTAAGAGTTCAGAAGTTTCATTATTATCAAACTTTTATTTACTACATTAATAAATTACATTATAAACACACACAAACATGCACAAACACACACACACATACACATACACATATATATATATATTAAAAATTTAATTGGAAATTGAATTTTTATAATATAAATAATGTAAAAAAAATTTTGCAATTTTATAAACTTTCATAATATAACAATATAGGATATTTTGTAAACTTTCATAGGAAGTTAAAGTTACCTAAAAGTATTAAAAATATTTTTTTTGTAAACTTTTATCAGAGTTCAAACTTTTATCAGAGTTTTGTAAATGATTTTGTTTATTCCTTCTAATTCTTAGAAGGAATAAACAAAATCATTTACAAAAAAATGAAGTGCTTTACTTGTCATATTTTTGAAATCATATTGTACGTTTTGTATTTAATAGAACTGTAAGCATTAATATGCTGCACACATAAGCTTTGTTAAGTTTATAACAAATCAACATTTAAAAACTTTTTCGACAAAGTTAATTTTTTATTTTATTATAATTATTTTTTTTTTGTTTTTTTTTACTAGTCATTTTTTTTGGCTTGTATGAGGATATTATTATTGTTTTTTTAATCACAGAAAAAGTTTTAAAAATAAAATTCATTTAATTAGGTTGATTATGATAATTTGCCAGATCTTCCTTCACCTGTGAGTCGAAACCAAGCATATGCCAAAGAGCCTGTTATGTGTATACCAGTTCCTAGGGCCATTCGGCCTGTTCTTGTTTCTTATAAAGTTGAGGTTTGTTAATTTTACATATCATTACATTTGTATTTTCGTTATAATATTGTAATTGTTTATTATATAAATGATGTAAAATTTAATACTATAATAGTTTTATGTTTGTATATAAATACAGAATATGAATTTTATTCAACTATGTAGTTTGTACATAGTGAACTATATAACATAACAACTCGTTTTGGAGATTTTTTTATTATGATAATGGGAAGATTACTATCCAAGATTTATGATGCTTCTGCTGTTATCCAAATTTAAATATAGAGCTTTTAAATCAGTGTTTTTTTTTAACACCAAGCAAGTTGCCTGAACCATAGCTAAAGAGCCTTAAATACCCCAATTTAGGATGAGCTTAACTTTGTAACCAGCGTGTTATTAGTACATAGTAATATCCAATAAACATGTTATTATAAATTAATGTGATAATTATTCTTATTTAGTTATTGTTTTGGGGTTTGCGAGACTTAGAAAAAAATTCTGGTATTTTTGGAAAAAGGGTTCAAAGACCTCAAGTTTTTGCAGATTTTTCATACAATGCCATGTTACCTAACGGAAAATCAGTCAACAAGTTAGAATCAACTATATGTAGAAATGCAATTCGTAATCCAAATTTTGAAAATCCTATTCTCATATTTGACATGGTATCTAATTTTATTACATGTTGTTACTATATTTTGTTATTGTTATTATAGTTAATTTATTTTTATTTTATTTTAATTTGTTTTGTTTTATTTTAATAGAGTTTACAAGTACCTTTTATTATTGTAGGATCTTCCAGAGAACACGGCATGGATGCCTGACTGCACATTTATGGTTGTTGATCATAGCCAGTTTACTAACAATAAAAGGAGTCAATTTTTTGCAACTCACACCACTCATACAATTGATAGATTTATTTTCAATGCTGAAGAGTTTAAAACCACTTACTTTGAAGGTTCAGGTACGTATGAAGTGCATAGGCATTTTCATTCAAGTTTTACTTTGTTTTATTTTAGGTGTAATCAGTAAGAAACAATATGTTTGAACAATAGTAGAAATGCGATAAGATTGAGTTTGTTTTACTAAAAATAAAAGTAATAATTTTATTAAATACAATATAATGACAAGAACAAGAATATGATATCATAAAATTAAGTTTTTCTGAATAAAAAGGTGAGTAAAAATTACACAATAAATCTGGTAAAAGTTATTTTTTGTTTTAATAGTTAAAAAGTTGATAATACACCAAAAATATTTTGATTGGTTTAAAAAAATTTTTTCAAATGAATTACTATTTTTTACTTTTCCCAAATACTTGATTTAGGTTGAAGGTGAAGGCACCTAAACTTTTTCTTCACAGAACTTTCATATGGGTTTAGAAGTTTAACTCATATCAAAATTTGGAACTGCTCCTAAACTGAGAACTCTCAAAGACATTATGATAAGTGAGTATAATTATCACTATTAAAAATTTTTAATAGAGATAAACTTTATACTGCCATAAAATTGTTGTCTTTGGTGCTACAGATAGCTTAAATAGACCTTATAGAGCAGAATTAATTACACAGTTTCAAATTATGATGATAATGGCTTTATGTATGATTTTTGTTAAATTATTATATTAAATATAACAATATCTGTATATTAAAGAGAACAATATCTCTTAGTATATTTCATCAACAAACGTGGGTATAACTTCAACATCTCTTTGAAGCTTGTTTAGCATCTAGCTGAAACGCTAACTGCTGAACACAATAAAAGTGAATGATCTAGTGAATGATAAAAACGATCTAGTGAATGGCACTTTTTATTCACATCAATGTACTCCTTTTAGTTCATCTCTATGTTACTTCTAGTATCACTTGCCAAACTACAGATAGGACATTGACATTAATCAGATACTACTTGTGTTTGTCCAAGGATTGATCTAGTAATTCTTCCTCTTTGCCAGGAAATTTCTTCACTTTTTTTTTTTTCACCTTCAACTTTTTTTGTTGCATGAAATTAATACTATTTTTACAAAAAATGACAGATTTAAAATGGAGGATAAAAAAGAAAATTACCTCTTTCTTGTTTTTTGCTATCTTGCACTTTGGTACAAATAGGTGGGAAAAGAGTTCACTTCAACATCAAAACTTTCATCTATATGCTTCCTTATTAGATTTTTTAAAGCAATCTGAGCTGGATTTTGTAGTATCAAAGAGAACAGTGTTACGGTATAGAATTAGTTACCATTAAAGATAAATAAAAAACATCAAATTTCAATTTAGGAGCAGTTCCAATTTTAATTTTTTGCTACGGTTACCAGAGTATGTCTTACTGATAATTCTGCAAAGAAAAATCCCAGGTATCTTCAACCTAGACCCCCTATCAACTGGGAGCAGTTCTTTTTATAGTTATTTTATAAATTTTTGTGAATTTATTTTTTGACTTTTTAACATAAAAAATGGATTATTTTGTAAAAGTGGTTTAAAGTAATTATTCTATAATATGTTTTTAATATATATATATATATATATATATATATATATATATATATATATATATATATATATATATATATATATATATATATATATATGTATATATATATATATATATATTTATATTTATATATATACTAGATGTATATAATTTATATGTGTGTATATCTTATACTGCTGAGTTAAGTGAGCATGATGATGTCATACTCACCTTATGTCAAATAGCCTGCTGCCGGGGGCTTTAGTACATACATCGACTGACAAAAGCCTGACTCGCCATGGAGTGCTGCTACATCGACTGAGGGTTTGGTATGGGTCAGCAACATTTTCATTCATTATTCTTTGCTTTCCCTCATCGTTTTCTAAAAATGCTCACTTAATTTAGGCTAGCAAAAAAAGTGAGCAATTGCGCATATAAATATGCTATAGTAGATATATATATATATATATAATTTATATGGGTGTATATATAATTTATATGTGTGTGTGTATATATATAATATATATATATATATATATATATATATATATATATATATATATATATATATATATATATATATATATATATTTGATGTATATAATTTATATACGTGTGTGTTTGTATATATATATATATATATATATATATATATATATATATATTTGATGTATATAATTTATATATGTGTGTGTTTGTATATATATATATATACATATATATATATATATATATATATATATATATTTGATGTATATAATTTATATATGTGTGTGTTTGTATATATATATATATATATATATATATATATATATATATATATATATATATATATATATTTTTGATGTATATAATTTATATATGTGTGTGTTTGTATATATATATATATATATATATATATTTATATATATACTAGATGTATATAATTTATATGTGTGTATATATATAATTTATATGGGTATATATATAATTTATATGTGTGTATATATATATTATATATATATGTATATGTATATGTATATATATATATATATATATATATATATATATATATATATATATATATATATATATATATATATATATATATATATATAAAATGAGGTTTTTATTTTTTAGCACCTGGTTCTAAGATATCTCTTTCTTATATGCCAAAAAAAAAGGTTAACTTTTATTATAACTTTTAGCTTTTTACTTATCTTTAAATGTCTTCTTATTTTTCTCCAGACCACTCATTGTCAATGGTATTATTTTCATTACATTCTTTTATTTTTATAAAGTTTTATAGTTTAATAGAATTAGGTTAACTTACAATTTGTAATATTAATTTTTTATTTATTTATTGTTTAAAGATTATAAATAATATAAAGTATATAAAATAAATATATAAAATAAATAAAATCTATAATAAATATAATATATATAAAATATAATATATATAAAATAAATAAAATAAAGTAAAATCAATCCTATGGTAGGCACTTTTTCTCGTGCCTGGGTTTGCCATTGTAAACGTTAACAAAAATTATAATTTTTTTTTGTGATTTGTTTGCATGACAGATTATTAAACTTGATACATAACTAGCATATTTATTTATTAACTTAAAACAGAAATGGTTAGATAATTAGTCAAAGTGCTTAAAATGTTTTGACCTACCATGGTTAACTAAATGCTTTATTCAAAATACTGGTAATTTATTCAACTTGCTTTTTTTTAATCATTGTAATAATTGATTTTTGAAATATAAATATATAATTATATAGGTTACCAAAGAAACTATAATAAACATTGAACCTGTTGACAATGAAGAAGTAGTAGATTGGTGGACACGTTTTTATGCAAGTGAAAAATCTCAAATAACTGATGAAGAAAATGATCTCGTAAATATTACAGTAAGGAATAAAATTCAAAAGTATGTTTGTATATATTAGTGATGCTCAGGTTAGGGCATCTGAGAGTAAGAGTATAGCTATTATTGGTTACCCATTAATGTTTTGAATCACCCATCACCATTTTTTATAAAACTTTTCACATTGGCTTAGTTCTTGTAAAGTTAAGTAATTTTTCCATGCAGTGTTTTATGGGTAAATTAAAAATTATTTGTACAAACCAAAATAATTATTGTAAACTATTCAGAACATTAACTCTTCTACTTTCAGAACAATGTCATACTGTGGTCCATGTATACCAAAGTATTTTTTTCACAAATTTTATTCTATTTTTTTCTTTAAATTTAGTCACGGACAGAAAAAGCACAACAATTCAAAACATCACAAGCGATTTCTGAAAATGAACTTTAATGACGAACTGCTATTTAAGCAAAAAATGAACATTAACAGCGAGACAAAATGAACAGCGAGGCAAAATGTTTCATTATTATGTTAAATAGTTAAAAAGTCATCCAAAATAATTTTTTTTTGCCTTTAAAAAATACAAAACTTTGAAAATACTTTGCTTTTTATATAATTAATTAATAAATAGCAAAACTGCAAAAAATAAGCTTGGTTGCCCAGTCTAGTATACAAAGTTGCAACTCAGTTTCATCAAAATAAATTTTTCAGAAAAATATTATTCAAAAGAATTGGCCACTACGAGTGTACACTTTCAAAAGACTTGGCTTGTCTCAAGCCACCACCAGTGTACACCACTATATGTATATATGTATGTATGTATGTATGTATGTATGTATGTATGTATGTATGTATGTATGTATGTATGTATGTATGTATGTATGTATGTATGTATGTATGTATGTATGTATGTATGTATATATGTATGTATGTATGTATGTATGTACCTATGTATGTGTGTACCTATGAATATATGTATGTATTAATAAATGCAGATTTAGCTGTCAATATGTAAAAGTGTATATACAATATTAAGCAAATGTTGAAGTTTTAAAAAGGCTATTATTTATATTATAGGCTATATTACTCAGAAAACATTAATGCGACAGAAAAACAAAGCCTTGCCTTGCAATTACTTCCCAAAGCTATTTTATGAAATAAATATTTGTTGGTAACAGAATTACACTTAGGTTTTTTAATCAACTATAGATACCAATCAATCAAAGCAATTTTTCTTTTTTTTTATAAAAATGGCCTGCTCTAGTTCAGTGCTATATTTAAAAATGTCCATTTAATTGGACGCTGTGTATTAAAGGGTTAAGTGACAGAGATGGTCAAAATCAAAATTATCATACAGATATTATTGAGCCCATAAGCTAATTATTACAGTTAATTAAGCTAATTATTACAGTTAATTAAGCTTATGTTACAGTTAATTAAGCTTATGTTACAGTTAATTAGGCACCAGTGTAAATATACTTTTTTGGTTTCTCAATCCTAATAAAATGAAAGTTTTTCTTCTCTACAGAAATTATTTATGCTAAGGTTGTTGCTTTAGTTTTAAGCTTTTTTGTTTAAAAAAAAAAGTTTACATAAAGTATATATAAAAAAATAGTATGTAATAATGTGGCATATTAATAATATAGATAGTAATAATACATAAAATATATATAGCATAATAATATGTAATAATATATAGCATGATGATAATATAGATAGTAATAATACACATAATAGTACTTAATAAGTATAGTATAATAATATGTAATAGTATATAGCATGATAATAATATATATAAAAACAATAACATAGTAATAATAATAATTACTTTTTTTGTGGATTAAAATTAATCCTATACATGTGACCTTAAAAAGCAATGCATAATTTTATGTTTAAAATATATTTCCTAAGAAAAAATTATCATCAAAATGATAAATGAAATAGCACAATTATTTCTGTTTAGTATCTAACATGGGTACTTTTTTTTAAGATTTACAATCACGAGTTAGAGAAAGAGTTTAATGACTTTCATGATCTTTTCACAACTTTCCCACTTGTTCGAGGTAAACAAGATGCTTTCAAAAATGAATGGGATCCTCGGAGAGTTAAAGGAAAACTTAAGGTTAGTAAAGATTAAGTGTACTAATAGTAATAATGAATATAAATACTTGGATATTTTAAATAGGATTGTTAATCTTACCCAGGGAGCCATTCGGTTATGGCGAAATGAAGATCTAATAAAATATAAAAGACAGCTAAAACCAAATGAAGGAACATTTAGTTATTTACCTCCAAAAGCACCAGTTAAAGTTTGTGTTCGCATCTATTGTATAATGGTATATTCATTGAATTTTTTTCATTGAATTATTTGTTTTATGTATTTTATATTATACTATAAATACACATTTTTTATAAAAATGTTCATATATTAATCTTAAAATGGTAAAAATAGCTTGGACAAATCTTATTTTGAGCAATTAATAGAAATTTATAATAAATATAATTGCAACTAAAATTAATAAAACAATTTAATAAAATAAAAAATAAATGTAAATGAATTAAAATATATAAATGCAAAAATTGATTTTCTTTTGATGTATTTAAAGGCATTGGGACTGACTGCAAAAGATATAATCTCAGGCAAAGTATTTTTTTTTTTTTTACTTTATTTTTGCAAATTTTGCTTTTGTTTTGCAACTAAAAATCAATAAACGATTTTTTTTTATGGGGCTAAAGCAAATTTTTTTTTATGGGGCTGACTAGCAAATTTTTACATTATTTTTAGTCTGATCCATATATAATAGTGCAGTTTGGAAAAAGCAAATCAGGAAACCCAAGCAAGCATGTTGCCAACAATTTAAATCCAGAATTTGGAGAGTATGTAACATTTTTAACATCTTAAAAAGTAAGAGTATATATATATATATATATACATATATATATATATATATATATATATATATATATATATATATATATATTATATATATATATATATATATATATATATATATATATATATATATATATATATATATATATATATATATATATATATATATACATATATATACATATATATATATATATATATATATATATATACATATATATACATATATATACATATATATACATATATATACATATATATACATATATATACATATATATACATATATATATATATATATATATATATATATATATATATATATATATATATATATATATATATATATATATGTATATATATATACAGTAAGAGCATGTATATATACATATATATATATATATATATATATATATATATATATATATATATATATATATATATAATATATATATATATATATATATATATATATATATAAACAGTAAGAGCATGTACATCGACTGAGGGTTTGGGATGGGATATATATAAATTAGTAGAAAATCACTTAGAAAAATTTTTTCTCATTTCTTGACTCATCAGAAATGAATGATCAAATTAATAAAACTTCAATTTATACCAAAAATTAAATTACAGGAAGTCACATGTCTTAACTACTGCAATTTTTCACACATTTGTGTAATTTGCTGACACTATTGTAAAAAGAATTCTTTAGAAATGATTACTTAAGCTTTTTTAAAAAAATAATATATTTTTTTTAAAGGGGAGTTAATGTAACTATTATTTAAGCTCACTTATTTTTATAGTTTTTTAGGAGAAACTTATTTTCATGCCTGCATTTAGAAATCAATTCCGATTTTTTGTTTAATAAACATTTTTGGTTTGTATGTGTAATTATTCCAAATTTTTCTTGTAGACATAGTATGCATTTTTTGGAAATATTGTTATATCCAGGCACTGTTTTAAGGGTGGACCAATTTAGTGTAAAGTCATCAATATTTTTATCTTTTAATTCCCATATATATTTTGACAGCATGGTGTCTTTTGAATACTTTTTATTTTTAAAAGATTACTTATGATTGGCAAAACGTTTTTTCCATTCATCTTCTGTTATGCCAATATATTGTTTATCAGGTACATTCTTAGAGGAGACAACACATTTATATACCACATTTTTTGATAAGCAACTTCCACTCATTGGACAATTGTTTTTTTGTTTACAATTACAATTTTCTGTAGTTTTTTCATTTTGGATTTCTTTTTTGTTTAACAAAGCATTGTTGTGACCATTTATAATTCTTTCCATATTTTTTGTGCAATTGTAGCTAACTTTAATAGTATTTTTATTAAAAATTTTATGTAATTTTTTAGAGGGCAGGAAATGCTTATTGATCAATTTTAAAAACACTTTTCCTATGTTTGTGGAAACATTTTTGCTATATGGGGGGTTGAACCAAATTACATTTCTAGTTCTATTTCGCTTTTTTGTATTCTTTTTTTCAGGGTCAAATTTTAATTCAAAGTTTTCAAAACCACTTTTTTTAAGAGCATCTTCAAATATCTGTTTGGAGGAATTGAATACATTTTCATTAGAGGAGTTTTGGTTAAGCCTGTTATTGATTGAAATCAGGATTTGTTTTAAGAATTTGGGGTGGATGATTTGAGTTAATATTAATATACAATAATTCATCGTTTGGTTTTTTAAAAGGCTTATATGTATTTTCCGAGAGGTTAAATGTGACATCAAGAAAGTTCACAATTTTTAAATTTATGTTTATTTCAATTTGAAAGCCAATATTTTTAAAAATTTTTATAATATCTTTTCTAAATTTATCAAGCTGTGGACCAGATTTTTTACGCATTACTATTAAACCATCGTCGCGATAAAGGCCTAAATCATTTATATTGATTATTTTACTTAATAAATCTAAAATATATAATCCAACAAATTCACAAATTTCTGCTCCATCATAACTGCCCATTGTTACATCAAAGCAGTTATGTATGTTTTTCTTTTTCCAAGTTTCCTTATTAAAATAAAGTAAAGTTTTTCTACAATGTTTTATTATGCGAATTGTTTCTTCAGGAATAACTGTGTGGCTTTTTGCAAATTCAATTGTTTTATCTAAAATCTGCAGTTATTGAGGGGTAAAAATCATTAATATCAAATTGAATAAATGTAGAGTCATTTTTATTATCGATTATGGAGAACCAATTTATAACATCAGTGGTATTTTTCCACTGTTGCAAATTTAATTTATTTCTAAGAATATTATTAATTTTGCCAACTTAATTTTGCTTACATGTCCAATCTCACTTTTTGAGGGAACCAATAACCTACAAGGAAGTGTGTTTTGAAAATTTGGTTTATGATCTTTTAGTGTTACAAAGGCTTGGGCAGGAGCAGTTGATTCGATTCTGTTATCAAGGCTTATTTTTTTAGCAATACTTTGCGCTTCTAAATTAATTGCATTTTCCAAGTTTTTAGGGGCTTTCTCATAAGAACTAGTAATATTGTCGTGTAAAATTTTTTCATAGTTTTCTGTTGTAAGTTGGTAAATTTGGTTATTTGTTTTATCAGCAAAAACCAAAATATTAGGGTTTGATTTAATTTTTTTAACATCTAACTTTAATTCTGTTTGAAATTTGTTTTTTATAGCGCGAAACTTTATTGTTTTAATTAAATGCAATAGGTCATTTTCAAAATTTTCCAAATCAGATATGAAAGGTGGGGTATTTTTTGTTTTAAATCCATAATTATCATTATCTTGGTTATTATTAAATACATCATCTGTGTATGTATTTGGTTTTAAGAAAAAATACGCTTTCCAACGAATTCTTTTTATAAAATACTCAACTTTTTCAATCAAAGAAATAGTATAACTTTTTTCATCTAGTATAGGTATATTTTTCAAGGAGTAAATGAAATTATTAGTTTCCATATTTACACGGAATGTTAAAATACAATTAAGAGTGCTCAACAAATGTTAATAAGGAGCCTAATATATATTTAAACAATTTAAAATGTATTCTTCAAAAAGAGTGCTCAATGTTCTCAATTCTTAAATTGATGAAACACAGTGTTAAATGAGAAAAAATTTTGCTAAGTGATTTTCTACTAATTTGTAATTACTCTGTTCTTTTACATATATATATATATATATATATATATATATATATATATATATATATATATATATATATATATATATATATATATATATATATATATATATATATATATATATATATATATATATATATATACAGTAAGAGCATGTATATATACATATATATATATACATATATATATTTATATATATATATATATATATATATACATATATATATATATATATATATATATATATATATATATATATATATATATATATATATATATATATATATATATATATATATATATATATATATATATATAGTAAGAGCGTGTATATATACATATATATACATATATATATATATCTACATATATATACATATATATATATACATATATATATATATATATATACATATATATATGTATATATATATATGTATATATATATATATATATATATATATATATATATATATATATATATATATACAGTAGGAGCATGTATATATACATATATATATATATATATATATATATATATATATATATATATATATATATATATATATATATATATATATATATATATATATATATATATATATATATATATATATATTAGGCTGGTTCTTAAAACAACTTTTTTTATAAATGACTGCTGGCACCCTCTAAATATGTTGTATATAATTAAAAAATTATGGATTTAAAAAATTTTTGAATACAAATTATTTTATGGGGTTGCTACCGACCTTCAAACATTAAATAGGTCCCTAATATAATTAAAAAAAAAGTTTTTCAAAAGTATGTCATATTGTTTCTCAAAAGAAGCGAAATTTTATAAAAATTTCAAAAATATTAATCATTTTTTAATTAATTTTTTATTTTAGATTTTAGTGAACAGAAAAATTACATTTTTAACCTAAAAACGATTAATAGAGAAACATTTGATATTATAACTGATTAATAGAGAAATTAATAAGATTTTTTTATTATAATTTATTATTATCAATGTTTTTTTATAAAATGAATATTATTTTTGAAATTTTTAAATAATTATATTATATAAATATATATATACAGTACTGGAAAAATTATTATGGATTTTTAAAATACATCGTTATTTCGGACTTAAGGCATTACTAAAACACAATTTGTTCATTAGTTCATAACCAAAAATGATTTATTTACACGTATTACACATTTTTATACATTTTAATACTTTGTTTGGCCACCTTTCGCAAGAATTAAAGCTTTTACACGATGTGGCATGCTCTCAATCAAACTTTTACACAAAAATTTAATTTTTGTAGAGTGAAACCACACGTGTATTAACCTTTCTATCAGTTGGCTTTTTGTTGTTATGGGTATTTGGTGGATTTCATTTTTTAGTATATCCCATAGATTCTCTATGGGATTCATGTCGGGCGAGTTTCCTGGCCAAGGAAGAACCTGGACAGCATTTTGTTGGAACCAAGTCATAACTTTTTTGGATTTGTGGCAAGGTGCAGAGTCTTGCTAATAAAATCCAGAAGTCTGACCCATACCATTCCCTAATTTGTGGCACTAGTCGAGATTCTAGCACCTTAATGTACTTGTCCTGGTTCATTGTGCCATCCACGATGTACAATCGACTGGTTCCATGGACCGAAAATGCCCCCCATACCATTATTTTTTGAGGAAATTTCACAGTCTTCTTCAAACATTCTGGCAAAAATTCTTCCCCGGGTCGTCGACGTACGGTTTGGACCCTATCATCCAAAATTGCGATAGTCGACTCATCAGAAAACACAACCTGAAACAAAATTAACTGCTAGAGAAAGTAGAGAGAGAGAGTGCCTTACCTCTAAGTTAAAATTTGAA